TTCAATTCGCTTGTGAGTTTTACAATTTTAATGTCCCAAGCTACATGATCAGTGTCCAAATTCATATACCAAGCTTAATATTTGTCTCCACACAATTTGAATATTAATTTTCATCGCTCTTACAATATTTTATTTCATGTTAACTACTCCATTTCGGACACAATTCAGTTTCAGTTTCCTTGCAATCTTTAGCCAAATGACCCCTATATACTGTACAGCGGTTCCAACCAATATTTATTTTTTCTTTTTTAAAAAACGTTTGGTATAAATACGTATGTGATTGTGTCTGCTTCAAATGTCAAACTGAATCTGCCATGTAGTACTTTAATCGTATTCTTGTTAAAATCCAAATTGTTTTGTAATCATGGTTAATATATCCTCGTCAGTATTATATTCTTCATGTTCGTCGACTCCAACAATTTTGCTGCCTTACATACATATTTATCTCCGAATTTGTTTTGAATTTTAGACTGGGTATTATCTCTTTCTCATCTCCACAACAAATAATGAGACCTCTGTTTCTGGTAGAACGACTCATTTCCAGTCCCACACCTATATTAATGGGGTAAATTGATTTACTTCAAGTCTCTTTCATTTTGACCACATTTTTCTCTGTAACACCCTTTTGATTGACAACCAATATTTGATTATCCTTCTTCGTAACTGCTGAATATGTTAATTACGGTCGTACAGGTATCAAAGAGCCAGGACCTGTTCAAAGCTGGATATCTTCTGCCTGCTATAAATTCAGATCAACATTCGTTTTCTGCATAAATAAACCATTTAGATCTCCATTTTTTGCGTTCTCTCCATTGTTCCTCGGCTATCGGTCTATCATTTATATTTTTCCTAAAAGCTATCTATCCATATTAGTGCGGGTCTTCCTCTCTTCCTCCTGTTCCATGGAACGTACATCAGTGCTTTCTTTGGCTATCTTTCCTCCTCCATTCCTATAATATGCCCATAATCACTACTATCTTAACCTACCTATATCCCAATTATAACTAAGCGTTTGACTATCTTACAGCTAACATTTCACTTAAGTAATAACCCTTGATAATTATATTTTTACACAATTTGTTATTGCGTCTTAAAAATCCAGCTCATGTAATTATTGCTTCGCTCCACACACGCATATGCTTCAAATATAATTCTTTCCAGCAACGGTATCAGTTACCTGACATCTGGGTTGTTCATAAAACGTGGGTATTCAGAAGACTTTGAATAAATAATTACAACCACATGGGATCTGGTTCAGTCGACAGATTCGTTTGAAGTTTAGTGTTTATTTAAGAAAACATAAATTTTGCCTATATATTTGTTAATTTTGTGTTATATAGCAATAATTGTTTTTATAGAAATCTGACTACTTCAGAGTAAAGAATTCAAAATGTTTTATCTACCTTGTGGTACTTTGTTATTTATATCTCGCTCTGATGTTTTCTCTGTTAATATTAGTATTTTTACTTCTCACACTTTTTCAGATCTCTTAAGCCAAAATCCGGGTCTTCATTATCATCTCCAATACAATGTCTTGCTTTGGTTTATTTTCATTCCCCACTATTCATAATCGACCTTAAGTTTTCTATACATGTAATTCAGGTCCTCTTCACAGCTAGCCATTATTAGCTGATCGTTTGCAAAGAACAGTATGGATAAGTAATGTTCTCCCACTTCTATTCCCATATCAGAACAAATATTTCTTCAGTTCTTTAAGGCCAAATGAATGTATATCTTGAACAGTGTAGTAGGTGATATATTGTGCGGATTTTTATCAATGTTACTAATGGCTCTAATGTATTCTTTACTCATGTTAGTCTTTGTCAAAACTTGGATAAGTTTTCTCAAGGGCACTGTACCGTAGGCCTCTCGAAGTCTACAAATATTAGGTGTAATCTGAAAGTGCCATCCATTCTGCCATAACTGAAAATTCCATTTCAATTCTTCTTATTAAAATAGGGACTTACAATTTTCTCAAACACACTTATTCCTCTATAGTTTTCACAAGTTTTTCGATTTCCTTTTTTGTGGATGGAACTTATGTGTGAGATATTCCAGTCTGCAGATAAAGTGTGCCCTCTTGGTAACAAATTGCTAGAATTTCCATCACGATATCTGTCGTACTTTTGACTAGCTCGATAGGAATATTTCCTGGCCCTGGAGCATTTCCCTTTTTCATATCTTCTACATTTGTTCTTAACTTTTTCGCTGTTATAGTTTCTACATGATTTACTTCATTTCCCCCAATCTCGTCAATCTGTCCCTTGGATTGTTCTCTTTCCTCTGTCAGCCGCATCTTGTAGTATTCAGTCCATTCTTCCATAGCTATTATCTGGACATTCGCTGTGCCTTTTCTACCTTTCCTCGCGTTCCTTATAGCTTTCCATGCTGCTGTCACCCTTAAATGTCCCAAATATCTTTCGATCTTTCCGCATTGTTTCGTTTTTCTGCCTTGTCATTTCTTTCCTAACGTTACTATTCAGTTGTCTATATATTCTTCCATATTCTGAATTTGCCAAATTTAACCACTTCTGGTAAGCTACCTGTTTAGCTTTTGTTAGCCTTTTTGGGTCTTCTGACCACCATTTAGGATTGTATTTGTTTATTTTGTCTTGAATAATCCCCATTTTGAAATCATTTATACGTCGAGTTACACCGTGTCGCTCTAGAGCTCCTCGGAGTCACTCCAAAACACACAATTCAGATATCAATATTTTTTAATATTAACAATAGAAAGTTCTCGTGTCTCAAACGCTACGCTAATACGATACCGCTAATAATACGGTATTTTACATGGTATTTTATAGTTCTCGGACACGAAGACACAAAAATTCTCTAATCCCTTATTCTATTTACATTTCCGTAAGTGTTTTTTATGGTGAAATTATTGGTAGTCGCTGTTCTTGTAGACATAAATGGAGCGAAAACTATTTTCGGGCTCCGCTAACGCTAACACCGTAAGAACTGTCATACTTGTCAAATAGCGTTAGGGTATTTGAAATTTGGACAGTACGAGAACTCTCTATTACCTAAAAGGGCTTCTTGCACCCACCGCAAATTTGGTGCATCAGTGGAAAGGGGGATGCACTATGAGTGACTCGAGTGCCCAATGCACTTTTAAAAGGAACGTTCAAGCTTTTGACATTAAACTGCTCCGAGTAACTCAACGGATAAAAGGAATACAGAATATACTGTTCATTGTAGGCCTTCACGGAAACACTGATCCGATTAACCCGATCATTAGCTGTTCGTTTCTCATCTTTCTTTAATGAACACGATTGAATAAAGACAAATTACATCAGCATAATTTTTACATTCAAAAAAAAATCATTTCCATCATTTGGCTCCATAGAAAGCGGCAAGGATAGCCACAACAACGTCGGAATTCTGAAATGGAATTTTTTGGAATAATGAGTCAAAGAACAAGACGAAGGGAAGCGCGCATCTGTAGTGACGTCACAAGTGTATCGTGGCTCTTAACAATAATAGTTTATAATCCTTAGCTTGTGTCAATCGTTCGTCGGCTTTCATTCTCATTGGCTGTCGTTCTCCTTTCCTCTACGTTATATTTTTCTGTCGTGTAACGAAATTTACCAAAACGTGACGCGTCTTTCAAATCACTCTTTATTCTCGTCCAAATATCAGACCATCGCCTAAGAAGTTTCACTTCAAAAAGAAAAACTACGGAGCAATTGTAGAGCCAATATTGATGTACGGAGCTCAATAGATGCAGTGGAACTGGACTGGAGTATATACAGAACGCTGAAATTTTAAGAAGGACCAGGAAAAATACATAGAATCAACAAAAGAATAGACAACTGACAACGCATATGGTATGGGCACGTTTTAATAATGGAGGAGGAAAGATAGCCAAAGAGAGCACTGATATACGTTCCATGAAACAGGAGGAAGAGAGGACGGTCTTCCTCTGCTTACATGGATAGATAACTTTTTGGAAAAATATTAATGATAGATGCTGTGGTTCAAGCTTATCTTTCATGGGAAAAAGTTTCATTTTCATAGATAGTTAAAATGTGACCCATGGATTTACAAACACATGGAGTTCTGCGAACGACCTAATCTGTTCGAGGGTAAAAATCACTTGAAAGCCAGAAAAGTATCGAATTTTATAGCTTCAAGATTATTATTGCTGTAACCCGAAATTGACAAATTTTAAGGCAAAATTTATATTTTCCTAGATATACACTAATCTGTCGACTGAACCAGATCCCATGTGGTTGTAATAATTTATTCAAAGTCAACTATAATCTTCTAAATACCCACGTTTTATGACAAACCCAGATGTCAGGTAACTGATACCGTTGCTGGAAAGAAATTATATTCGAAGCATGTGTGTGTGGAGCAAAGCAATAATTACATAAGCTGGATTTTCAAGATACAATAACAAATTCGAAAAAATAGTTCATGGCTCAAAGAGACCTGTGTTCAAATTATATTTGTGAGAAAAACACCAAGTCGTGGTCTCAAAAATTTTAATATCAAGGTGATTTTTGAGATCACGACTTGGTGTTTTTCTCACAAATATAATACAATAACAAATTGTATAACAATATAATTATTAAGGGTTATTACTCAGGTGAAATTTGAGAACCAATGGAAAAACCACAAAAACCAGAGGGTACTTTCAGCGAATCGCTGAAAGCTAAGAGGTTTGGAGATGTTTGACTTTGTTGATTTTCGCAAGCCCGGTACTAAGGGGTAGCCAATGGGCTTCTTAAGTGGTACATCTCTCTACTTGAAGTGAAGTTTTATCAGTTGACGCCTTCTAGATTCTCTTGCCTGATTATTGTCTCTTAGTCTCTTTGAAAACAAGCTAGACCGTTAGTTACACCAGAAAGGATACGATTAAACTGGTACAAATTTTCATCAGCTTCAAAAGCAGTAAACTGTTTTTCATCATCTCTTATAAGAAACTGATGATATGCACTTTGTAGGTCAAAAGTGTTAAAAACTTCAAACTTTGAGAGTAAAACAACGAGTTGTGAACTTAGCTAAATTTTATTTAATAACAATCAACAATCAGTCTAACGAATAATATGACTATCTATTACATTAAGCACTTTATATAAGCGTAGTTTCATCTTGGGCATCTTGATCAAAAACCATCAACAAAGAATCTTTAGAAGACGATTGGTCTTCTTTCTCCAAAAGAGCAGTCTTTTCTCCATTATCATTCAAAGAACAATCTGGAGAACTAAAAAAACCCATTACTATTTCAGATAGATATATACATGGTGGGGCATAAAAAACTTCCCACTCAGGTGATTTCCGACTCAGATGATTATTATGTATCCTCTGACACCTGAGAAAACCTGGTCAGGAAGTTTTTCGTGCCCCACCATGTATAATATTTCTCACCTGTTATCGTGATGCAAAAAATTATTAGTAGCAGCACTACTAGTTGAAGGCAAAGAATGCAAATCAGGCGAAGCCAACGGCGGAAAAATCTTAGGGCTCGTCTCCAAAGGGTCCTTCAAATGCATCACAGGATACGACTCCCTATACCCTGAAGTACTCGAAGTCTGAGAAATTGCAGAATCTTCGTCCCATGAACCTTCGCCGCTTTTGCCTCGCGTCGCGATCCTCAGCCTATGAGGATCCATAATTGGAAACATGACTTTTTGGACTTCAGTCGATTGGTGAGTTACTGGAGGAAGAATTTGAGGCGGCGGCGATAAAGGGCCGAAAGGGGATTTAGGAGATTCGTTAGGCAAAGGCGAATAAGGGCAATTTGACTCCGGAAAGCTGCTCGAGAAAATTTGGACTGGAGATTGAACCTGAGAGCCTGGAGGTGAGGATTGTTCCGATTCCAATTTCAAGTGGGCAAGCTAAAATAACTGATTGTTAATAATTGGTCCTTGTTTTCTAGAGAGTATGAAATTACTTCTGATGATTTCTTGCTCCTGCTCTTACTGCGCAGCCTAAAAGTTTTTCTGCTTTGCGGCATCATACGTTGCAGGCGCGATTTCGGATGGATTTCTTCTTCTTCTACAGGACTGGCTGGACTTAGTGGAGTTGTCGATGTTTCACCTTGAAGCAAAATACCTGTTACTTCTGTTATACATAAAGCTTTACACCCTTAAAAATTACCATCAAATACGAGCAAATTAAAAACAAGAAAACCAAACAAAAAAAATTACCTGAAGAATTTCTAAATTCTACAGAAGAAACAAAGCGCAGTTTGTGGACAGTCTTATGAGTAGTAGTAGAAGAGATAGTGGGTGGATGTTGGTGGTGATTGGGTTGGGTTGTTGGGTAGTGGTGGGTGGTTGTTGGTGGGTGCTCGTGGCCCGACGACCGTTGCGACATGGTACGATCTGAAAAACAACTACATGCAAGACATGGACGCAGGCTAACTAGACATCGAATATTTGACATATTTTATTGAATAACAATTATTTTGAACGCACACAAAATGGATGTTTTGACGAATCATTAAATATATACAAATGGGGTTGATTCTTTTTTTTTTTGTACACACAAAACGATAGTTCTACACACACAAAAATACCTGGAAACGCGCAAGGTGTAGAGGCGCCCGTTTCCGAACTATTTTCGTCTTGTTTCGGCTGCATCGGAGCCGAAGTTTGACTCGTACTGGACGAGGAGCCTTTAAAATTTGTTTTAAATTTTATTTCATTAAACATTCGAACAATTACCTTTCATTAAATGTTGTTGAAAGTGTTCGTGCGTGGAACTCCTTTGATGGTTCAATTCTCCCGTTAAAAGACCAATAAGCGATTGCCTTTGAGTTCGATGAGCAGTTTCGCTTGTCATTTGCACTGTGGGTTGAGTTTCTTTTTTGGAATCATCCGATTCAGTAGCTAAAAACAATGTTTTCAATACTTGTATTTAAAGAATAACTGAATTACATTCTGAAAGTTCCTCTTTCAATAGCTTCATTTGATTGGCCAAATCCATTAGAATAGCTCCTTTGCTTTTCGGTAGAGGCAAACCGATGCTGCGAATTTTGTCTCTGATCCTCTGGTGCATGTTGCGCTCGAAATCTGATATAGGCGGCTGAGCCAGCTAGAAATTATTCTCTGTAAGTTATTCAGAAAGTTCCAGAAATATTGTGATTGGTCGTTTGCCATGAAAATGTTAGTTCACCATGAAGATCTTTGGGTTTTCAGAATGTGATACGAGAACAGAAGCAGTAAAAAGTGAGAAAGATCAAAAAGCAAACTGTTCGTTGGACTTGTTGCATTAGGTGCCCTAAGTGATGGAGCTGCGGGTATTGCAAAAGCGATAAACGATATAGTTTGGCAACTGAAAGGAAAGCGTTTCGGTCTGAGGTAAAGGGGGAAGAAGAAACAATATGGAAATACACAGTTTCAATGGAATAAAGCGTGATAGAAATATTAGTTCTCATATTTGCCGCCGGTAAACTCTCGCTCGTCGGATTATACTTATTCTTTAAAGGATGAATTTGTCGAATATAAGCGACACAACGAAATAATAAAAGCCATTAAGTTGGGGCAAAAAGGAAGTGGGTCATATCTTGCCAAACACAAGACCGGGTAAGGATTGAATTTTTCTCTAAGATTCTTCTGAGTCTTGTATTCAAGTAAAGCACAGCCGTCAACTGTTCAAAATTCAACGAACAGAAGTTTCTACGGCTGTGTTTTCCTTGAATAGAAGACTCCTAAGAATCATTAAGATTTTTCTTAGAAAAATCCAGTTCTCACCTGGTCTTGTATTCGGCTAGATATGACCCACTTTATTTTTTCCCCAACGCAATTGCTTCCATGGTTTCGTTGTGTCCCCACGTTGGGCGCCAATTTTGTTACGAGTCTAAAAGCGACAGAGGGAAGTAATAATTACGGGGTGAGTATTTCTTTTGACCTCAGAACTTCAATACCAATCAGCTCGAGTGTAACCATATGATTTCAGGACCCAGGACAATACACACATGTGACCCAACTAACTTACAGGGCGTTCCTTGATTGTTTGCTGTTTGTAAGTCTTACAGCGACCCAGGAATCTACCTGATGTAGAGTAAGCATCGAGGGTCCTCCTCAAATCTTCTTGGTGGTTAGGGAAATTTCCCTATACATTTTGATGACTTACCTTCAAAAATATAAAAGGTTGCATTAAAATATACAACGGAGTCCTGTGAGTGACCACAAAGTCCAAAAAATCCCACAAAAACGTAGCAGCTTCGTTCCTCTTGCCCAACTCTCTCATGGTCCTGCCAATTTTCATCCAATCGTGTATCAGATGCTCCTCGAAACATATTGCTACGGACATCAAAGGTAAATTAATCACTACAACTCACTAACATTTGAAATTTCTAATTACCAATCATCTTTAGGGCCAAAAACGACACTTGATACAAAGAAGTGTTGATTTTCGAAGCCGTTTTCGTATCTCTGGTACCAGTGAACGTCAAACTTCCGGTTCTAGCTTCGGCAGTAGCTTTGGGATTAGCGCCACTTTGACTTGTTGGAGGACTCATGGCGTGAAGTACCAGAGTGATGGCAAAACTGACGTCAGACGGTTTGATTTGAGGTACGTCTACAAAGCGGATAATTGAAAGTTGATATGTTTAATGTAAAAACATTGTCGCACCTTTTCTGCCGCTCCCTACTCGTAGACAAAGGGGCATTACTAGGTTTATGATTATGCTTTCGGTGCGTTCTTGTGTCGGAAACGTGGAGCCTCCGCATACTTGTTCCAATGTACAAAATTCCTGCAAGATTAGACATTTCGTTAAACTACACAGCGCTAGAGTTTCTGACCAGAATTTTGAGTTAGGTTTATGTTTGTTTAACTATTATCTAGATTTAAATTCATCCTGATTCCTGCATTCTGAAGACCATAATATAAAATGGTGACAGTTGTCCAAGTCCAGATCTAGAAGAAAGCATGGTCCAAATACCTAAATTTCGGGTTAAATACCCGCAAACGACAACACTGATCTTATGAATCCCGTTTTTGTATTCTCCAGTCAGACTCAGAATTGTGGGGAAACATAAACCCGGCATTTCAGGAAGACCTGCAAATATTGTCGGATTTTATAGATTCACAAAGCAACAAATTTCTAATATCGAGGTAGATGAGGTCGAAAATGTCGCAGAGATCGCGCATAAAAAGGCATGTCCAAAACTCCTAGAAGTCAGTATCAGAGTATCATTATCAAACCAGAAATGGCTTTGGAGAGATAAATTTATAAGACTTGGATTGCTGTTTGCATCTCCATAAAATAAAGAGAAATGTTCCTAGATTCCTAACTTCACCTCTGAAGATCTACATGCGGTAACGTAATCCAGGGTTCATCCAGACCCAAGAAATCTGAATTTGGGGTTGCTAGCAAACTGGCTATAATCTGCCCTGAGTATAGAATTCAGATGTAGTAGTTGTATCAGAAAATGACCTATAGATTTCTATTCGTTTCAGTCAATACACACTTACTTGTCCATCTTGAATTTGTAAAGCAATCAACCGTACCACCATAGAGCAAAAATTCGGAGGCGGCGCCTGGCTCAGCAAGGCAGCAGTGGCACCCGAAACTCCTTCCACGCAACACTCCGTAACAATCAGACTCTGAAAATTAAAATTTGGTTTTATTTTGATAGTTTATGAATGAGCTTTTGGTACTCACCTGACAAACGATTATAAGCTGCTTAATTTGATGCCAATGTATTATGTATGGGTATTTAAGCATGGTGCTGTAGATACCTTTGAGCAGACCTGCAGCCGCATCCCAATCGGTGTTTCTCTAAAAAAAAACAACTCGTCAATAAGACAATCTAATACTTAAAATTCTTACCCTAATTGAAGGCTTCTTTTGTATTTTGCTGAAAACCTTTTCAAGTCTTTTCAAAAGGGCCACAAAAGCTGGTCTTGTTGCGTCATCACCCCAATCTGTAGATGGCAAGACGTACGCCATGTAGTACTGGAGGCCTCTACAGGCCATCGACTCGGGGTCGTAGGGTGAAACTTTTAGTAGGGCGTGGGCTATATCAGCCAATCTCTACAAATTTGAGTGAAATTATGTAGCTCATAACATAATCATAGAATTTACAATGATTATTTAAAATATGTAGTACCAATGATCCCTCTAATAAATCAAAAGAAGCCTGAATTTAACAAATTTGGTATATGTAGCAACAAATTCAAGCATGAAAAAGTAAGGGAACATTATCATTTAACTGGTAGATTTAGGGGTCCAACTCACAACATCTGCAACTTCAACTATCGGATCCCCCCTCACATTGCAGTGTTTCCTTCATAACTTAACAGGCTATGACATCCAATTATTTACTAAACTAGTTTGTGAGGAAACCATTGGTTTGAAATAATCAAACTTACTCGAAATTATAGAGTTACTTACCACGTGCGAACGGCACTCTAAAATTTCTATTGGTTTTCCATCGCCGTCTTTTTTGATTATATCTGCAATCCGTTCGTTAACTTTGAGTACGAATTCGCTTACCAATGACAGCAATACGTCCCTAAAAAATAGTCAATTACTAGGCCAATACTATACAATCCTATGTTTACCTTGGTCGTCTATATTCGGCCCTCAATATTTCACTATCCTCAGTATCATGTTCATACATGCTTTTGGCTCTATTATGCTCCCCAATAAACTTAGAATGTGAATCCTCTTCGAAATCAAAGCCTGGCGAATAAGGGCCTCTATAGTTGCGCTGACTTGAACCCTTGTGCTCCGGACTGGACCTATAGGGCCCGTTGTAAACCCTATTAAAAAAAAACATAGGTAAGCCATTTTGCTAGCAACAATTGCAGTGTAAACGTCAATGCAAAAGTTTACACCCAATGAGCCACTAGTATTAATATTTGTTAGTGGTAATATAATTATTAAAATAAAAGCTAAAATGCGACACCACCTACCTTTTCGAACTGAATCTGCAAAACAAAAGAAATACATAAAGTTAAAAAACGATTAAGCGTGAGATGCGGTTTTGTTTATATTATAATGGGTCAGACACTGTCATGAGATGGCGCCCTTTTGCGGTACTCAACAAGCAACTAAGGTCTCTTCTAGAACAATTAAAACAAAAAAACACTATTTCAAACGTCTATTAAACGGTCAAATAAAACTAAAAATAGTTTGTTCGATGATTATTTTTTAGACATCGAACAAACTGAATAAGTAGAACAATGGATGTCTTGTTTTGTACGTCATAGAGTAATACGAAAATGTTTGCAAATTGAGGCAATACAATGCTTTTAGTAGTTTCTAAACAACGCCAATATGAATTTCAATCTGAGGTTGCGCTTGTCATTTGAATGTCAAATTCAAACGTATGTATCGATGTGTCTGATGAAAGTTTTAGAACTAAAAAGAAAATTCAACTTTTATCTATTCCAGGCTCTTGGACTGAGTTTGAAGTTTTTTACAAAATTTGGACTGAAAGGAAACTTTGAGGCTCAATTGCTCAAAAACTATTGTAGCTTTCAAACTCATTTTTACACGGATTTATAGAGAATTTAATGCTCTTTTCAATGGTATATAATTTCTCTCAATTTGCTCAAAATTTACCAAAGATATGGGTAATTGCTCATGACCATGTCAGGATCTTGAAAATTTTCCAGAGCCAAAAATTGGATTTTGTTTTTATTTTTATGTCTGCTTAAAATGGCCAATTGGAATTGATATTAGAGTTGTTTTCCACCAATTTTGACCCGCTCTATCGATTCATAAAGCCAAAATTGAGCGAAATTAAAAAATAAAGAAATCGAATTTTTCATAAGGTTACCCCCTTTGAATTCTGATTTCAAAATATTCAAACCTCAATTGCTCAATAACCGTTGAGCAAATTGCAATAAAATTTCCAGAATTTGTAGCTTTTATCAAGTTTTAAATGGCCTGTAATTTACAATATTTCCAGATTTCTAGTTTCTGAGCAAATTGAGTTTGAAGTTTTTGACAAAATTTGGACTAAAAGTCAACTTTGACGCTCAATTGCTCAAAAACTATTCGAGCTATCGAACTCAATTTTACACAGATTTATAGAGAATTTAATGGTCTTTTCAATGGTATATAATGTCTTCCAATTTGCTCAAAAATTTACCAAAGATATAGGCAATTCTTCATGACCATGTCAGGATTTTGAAAATTTTCCAGAGCCAAAAATAGGATTTTTTTTTTATTTTTGTGTCTGCTTAAAATGGCCAACTGGAATTGAGATCAGAGTTGTTTTTCACTAATTTTAACCCGCTCTAGCGATTCATAAAGTCAAAATTGAGCAAAATTAAAAAATAAAAAAATCGAATTTTTCATAAGGGTACCCCCCCTTTGAATTCTGATTTCAAAATATTCAAACTAGTACAGCAGATCAGCTAACCTATTGCGCACTTTTTGATAAAGGCACCAAATTTGGCACAGAGGAGAATTGACGTAATATGAACAAATTTCCATGTGGAGCCATCGGCCAAATGCCCCCCGGCGGCCTTGGCGGCGATTTTCCAAAATGACCGCTAGTGCACACCCAGAAAGACAACGGAAGTTAAATAAAGTTAGCTTCTGAAAGTTTTAGTGAATGTTTATTGATTGTTTTCAATGAAAACATGCCCGATAGTTTGTTAGTAATACAGGGTGGGACACGAAAAACTTCCCACCTAGGTTTTTTCCGGTGTTAGGTGAAAAATCAAAAATTGCTCGAGTCACAGGCTCGAACACGTCAAGTTTTGGTTCTTCGGGGACACATTTTATTGGTATTTCCACCCTCTACCTGTCAGCCCCTAGGCGAAGGCGGCAGGCACCAGCAAAATCAAATTAAAAGGGGGTTCGAGTGATACAATTCTTTCCTAACTTTGACAAGCCCCCATTTCGGCAGGATAAATATGTACCATCTGTGCAATAGTATATGGGGTACTCGTAGTTGGCGGGTCTCCAGCGTTGGTGTTGCCTCCTGTCATCTTGAGTTTGGGTTTTACAAAGGACTGGTCAACGGATTAATTCTAGTCGAAACTTCTTTTTACAGCAATTGAAGGTCCCTGCTCGGGCGTCAATTTTGTAACGCCGATTTTTGCTTTTCTTACTTTAACGGTTACCTCGGGCGCCACCCTCAGGATTATTGTGGTTGAGGGCCCACGTGCACCAGGTAGCTTATTACAGTGGAGATCAGGCATCGAATCAGATGCTGGAAATTATTCCTTCCATCTTTTCTGTAAATCCTGCAGATAACTCCAAAAGAAGACACATGAATATAATATTTTAAGGTCTTGTATTTATTGCAACAAATTTACAATGTTGGGTAAGGCAATTCCTGTATTGAAATAAACATTCCCTAAGCAGAGTGAAAATGTTTATGTGTGCGTACTGTCTATAACTTTCAGTACCAGTTGTAGGGTATAATGTCCATATTTTCATAAAAACCCTTTTTTCAATGAATGGCAATTATTAGTTTTACTTCCCTAAACCACCCTCAAAGTTATTTGCAAGTCTTTTTAGGTACGCTAAATGGTGTATGTTGGTACTGCCTATAACTTCCAATACTATTTGGGCCCGAGACTAGGGCGGAAATGTCCATATGTCCATAGTTCATATTTTTACAAAAACTCCTTTTTCGATGAATCGCAATTATTAGTTTTATCCAATGATATTTGTAATCTTATTCATCAAATGACGTATCGACCCCTCTTTTCTATTTGAAATTTTGGGAGTACCTGTCGGCTGTCATCTTCGCTTAAAGGTTGAAAAGTAGGCAATGGCGTAACTTCAGATTTTGGACCTGGGGGCAGAGTGGTTTGGCGAGGCCCAATTACAATAATGCATATATTCTGTTTGTCTTAAGGCCAAAATATGGACCGATTGGTAATGTCATTGGCAAATTTATCCTGTTCGTAAAACTCAAAATTAAATTCAATTTACCAGCAGGATGAATTTGGCACGGACGTTACCAGTCGGTCCATAATTTGGTGCTAATGCATGGTTTATTCATCCTCTGATACACTTGCTGATAACTATCTGCATGATAAATTGACCGTCCTTTAATTCTGGTCGGCGGATAACTAGCCGACAAATGGGATTACAGATTGCGTTTATATCCGGCAGATTGCATACCTGACAGTTTATCAGGTGAATAAACCGGCCATAACTCATGAAAACCTGGAAATAATTATTTTGCGAAATTCGCCTACCATCTTCCACGTTAACAGCTAACATTACCGATCGCGATTTTACTTTTTGCGGAATACCTACATTTTCCAAATAAATGTGGGTAGTAAATAGATAGGTAAGTCAGCAAAATTTTCAATGATTTTCGTATTTTCTTGATTAAAATTAAGTTTCTTAAGACAATATTCTAAGAATCGTACGCATATGTTTTTTGACTGTGAAATTATTTTTGCATGGAGACCGAGAGAGAAAACCTGGGTGGGAAGTTTTTCTTGCCTCGCCCTGTACCTATATACAAGGTGTCCCACGACGTTTTACCCAGGTGATAAATTCGGAACGCGTCATCCAATATAATTCAAATTTTGAAAATCTGGGCTGGAACTCTGTAACGGATAGAGATCCTTATCCTTATCGCTATGGCACTTGCTATCATCTTTTCTCTTGTCGAAATCAATAATAGAGAGGAGACGTCAACAGAGATAGAAAAAATATCTCAATTCGTTACAGAGTCTGGTTAACTTTTGTGCCGCTCCTACATGCGTCATCCAATTTCACCACTTTCGCTTCAGTTTCGGTCAGATGACGGCAACTTTAGAATCTTTAATATAACTGATGGTATTTTATCATTTTCCGTTAGAAAATTAAATTACCCAATGGGCAATGCCATATTGGTATTTTCACCTCCTACCTAAACCTGTCAACCCCTAGGCGGGGGTGACAGGTACCTCCAAAACTTCAAACTGAAAAGGGGGTCGAGTGATCCGTGATTTTTATCAAGAATATATCCTCGAAATTCTAAATTGGTACTATTTACCCTGCCAAAATTGCGGCTCGAACCCCGTTTCCACTGAAATTTTGCGGGTTCTGCTTAGGGGTTGACAGCTAGGTAGAGGATGAAAACACTATTAAAATGTGTTCCCCCAAAAACAAAAATTGAGGTGTCCGAGTAATTTCTGATTAATCACCTGGAACAAGACCTGAAAAAACCTAGGTGGGAAGTTTTTCGTGTCCCACCCTGTATAACAAACAAACTATCAGGCATGTTTTCATGTAAAACCATCAATAAACATTCACTAAAACCTTCAGCAGCAAACTTTATTTTACTTCTGTTGTCTTTCGGGGTGTCCACTGTTGGGTATTTTAGAAAATCGCCGCCACGGACGCCGGGGAGCAGTTGGCTGATGGCTTCACATCCAAATTTGTTCATATTACATAAAGTGCGACAAGTGAGTGAACCTTGGTAACGTATGAAGTAGCAGAGGGGAAGACGAAAACCTATACTATACGACGCAACAGGTCCCCGACGTGGTGCATTGCGAAAATTGCGTTTACCCTGACGCGACGACCCGCGTATATGTATATTTAATCTTGGGCCAATCAGGAGGGTTATGCCCACATTCCTTCCACACAGGTTCACTCACTTGTCGCACTTTAGGTCTACCTCTGTGCCAAATTTGGTGCCTTTATCAAAAAGTGCACAATATGTTGAAATACCCTAGCTAAACTGCCGCACTAAACCTCAATTGTTCAAGAACCGTTGACCAAATTCCAATAAAATTTCCAGAATTTGTAGCTTTTATCAAGTTCTAAATGACCTGTAATTTACAATATTTCCAGATTTATAGTTTTTGAGCGAATTGAGTTTGAAGTTTTTGACAAAATTTGAACTGAAAGGCAACTTTGAGGCTCAATTGCTCAAAAACTATTCGAGCTATCGAACTCAATTTTGCACAGATTTATAGAGAATTTAATGCTCTTTTCAATGTTATATAATTTCTTTTAATTTGCTCAAAATTTACCAAAAATATGGGCAATTGTTCATGACCATGTCAGGATTTTGAAAATTTTCCAGAGTCAAAAATAGGATTTTTTTTTTTATTTTTGTGTCTGCTTAAAATGGCCAATTGGAATTGATATCAGAGTTGTTTTCCACTAATTTTGACCCGCTCTATCGATTCATAAAGTCAAAATTGAGCAAAACTAAAAAATAAAAAAATCGAATTTTTCATAAAGGCAACCCCTTTGAACTCTGATTTCAAAATATTCAAACCTCAATTGCTCGATAACCGTTGAGCAAATTGCAATAAAATTTCCAGAATTTGTAGCTTTTATCAAGTTCTAAATGATCTGTAATTTACAATATTTCCAGATTTATAGTTTTTGAGCGAATTGAGTTTGAAGTTTTTGACGAAATTTGAACTGAAAGGCAACTTTGAGGCTCAATTGCTCAAAAACTATTCGAGCTATCGAACTCAATTTTACACAGATTTATAGAGAATTTAATGCTCTTTTCAATGGTATATAATTTCTTTTCATTTGCTCAAAATTTACCAAAAATATGGGGAATTGTTCATGACCATGTCAGGATTCTGAAAATTTTCCAGAGCCAAAAATAGGATTTTCTCTTTATTTTTGTGTCTGCTTAAAATGGCCAATTGGAATTGATATCAGAGTTGTTTTCCACTAATTTTTACCCGCTCTATCGATTCATAAAGTCAAAATTGAGCAAAACTAAAAAATTAAAAAATCGAATTTTTCATAAGGGTACCCCTTTTGAACTCTGATTTCAAAATATTCAAACCTCAATTGCTCGATATCCGGTGAGTAAATTGCATTAAAATTTCCAGAATTTGTAGCTTTTATCAAATTCTAAATGGCCTGTAATTTACAATATTTCCAGATTTATAGTTTTTGAGCAAATTGAGTTTGAAGCTTTTGACAAAATTTGGACTAAAAGTCAACTTTGAGGCTCAATTGCTCAAAAACTATTCGAGCTATCGAACTCAATTTTGCACAGATTTATAGAGAATTTAATGCTCTTTTCAATGGTATATAATGTCTTTTAATTTGCTCAAAATTTACCAAAAATATGGGCAATTGTTCATGACCATGTCAGGATTTTGAAAATTTTCCAGAGCCAAAAATAGGATTTTTTTTTTTAATTTTTGTGTCTGCTTAAAATGGCCAATTGGAATTGATATCAGAGTTGTTTTCCACTAATTTTGACCCGCTCTATCGATTCATAAAGTCAAAATTGAGCAAAACTAAAAAATAAAAAAATCGAATTTTTCATAAGGGCAACCCCTTTGAACTCTGATTTCAAAATATTCAAACCTCAATTGCTCGATAACCGTTGAGCAAATTGCAATAAAATTTCCAGAATTTGTAGTTTTTATCAAGTTCTAAATGATCTGTAATTTACAATATTTCCAGATTTATAGTTTTTGAGCGAATTGAGTGTGAAGTTTTTGACAAAATTTGAACTGAAAGGCAAATTTGAGGCTCAATTGCTCAAAAACTATTCGAGCTATCGAACTCAATTTTGCACAGATTTATAGAGAATTTAATGCTCTTTTCAATGGTATATAATTTCTTTTAATTTGCTCAAAATTTACCAAAAATATGGGCAATTGTTCATGACCAAGTCAGGATTTTGAAAATTTTCCAGAGTCAAAAATAGGATTTTTTTTTTTTATTTTTGTGTCTGCTTAAAATGGCCAATTGGAATTGATATCAGAGTTGTTTTCCACTAATTTTGACCCGCTCTATCGATTCATAAAGTCAAAATTGAGCAAAACTAAAAAATAAAAAAATCGAATTTTTCATAAGGGCCCTTTGAACTCTGATTTCAAAATATTCAAACCTCAATTGCTCGATAACCGGTGAGTAAATTGCAATAAAATTTCCAGAATTTGTAGCTTTTATCAAGTTCTAAATGGCCTGTAATTTCCAATATTTCCAGATTTATAGTTTTTGAGCAAATTGAGTTTGAAGTTTTTGACAAAATTTGGACTGAAAGGCAACTTTGAGGCTCAATTGCTCAAAAACTATTTGAGCTTTCAAACTCATTTTTACACGGATTTATATAGAATTAAATGCTCTTTCCAATGGTATATAATTTCAATTTGCTCGAAATTTACCCAAGATATGGGCAATAGTTCATGACCATGTCAGGATTTTGCGCCCACAAAAGTCAAAATATATTATAAGGAGTATGATGGAATATTCAAAATTTGAATTTTATAATTCATTATCCCGACTTCACTAGTTTTGATTGGATTGATGAAATTCCCTCTAAGATATGATAAGAATCCAATCAAGAAAAGAACAAATTCGAAATTTGAGTTTTCAAAATCAAAATTTTATAAGAGAACTGAAGATAGGATTGGTATACTAAAATAATGAAATTCATAATGTCAAAGAATATCATCTTGGCTTTGGTTACCGATAATTCTATTGCAAATTCTTTGATTCTATAACATACAAGACTCACGTTCCTTCAATCAAAATTATTTACAAATTTCAACAATAAAAATGGTTCCCTATATAAAACCAACTAAATAACACAGCCAAATAAATTAATTCGAGAAAATATATTTACAATAGATTTTTGTAATTTGTTTATAAATCCGTTGCCATTTCAGTACCTATGTACAAGAGAATTATTCAAATATGGCAAACAACTATACAAAATATGGCATTCAAAATAATTCGCAACACAACAGAGCGCCAATCGGATTCAGCAATCGAACACTTACTTGGTTAGTTCTGCGCAGTTTTCAATCAAACACCGTATAGCTATTGATAGTTGATTGATTATATCTCTTTCGTTTTTCTTGAAACGCTTTATCGAGTTGGCTATGTAAACTGCGTTTTGGATTTTGTCCACATAATAAGGCAAAATTGCTTCTAGAATAACCTATGAAGATAATTAGTTGGTATATTAAATATTTTGATAATCTTATTACCAGCATTTGATAACCTCTACAACTTTCGGCGGAATAAGAAACAACCATTACACACATAGAAATGCAATCAAGCACTGTGACGTCATTATCTTCGTCGTGGTAACAAAAATCTATAGCTCTTACTTGCTCTTTGACTAGTTCCGCAATATAGAGCGGATCTGGTGAAGGGGTTTCCAAACTAAAAAAAGTGTTTTGAGTCAATAACACAATCATGTTGCATTGTTTTACCTCAACAACAAATTAAACAAACAACTGGATTGTATTTTATGCGCATTTCCATAAGTGCCTTCTTCGTCAGTATCCAACATTGCAGACACCGATCCAAACATTTGCAAAATAAACGGTTTTCTATTCATAGTGTAAAACTCCTTTACCGCATACTCAATAGTCGTAGTAACCAGCTTGTTGGTTTGATGGTTTGAGTAGATTTTAAGCAAAGTTGGCATGATTAGCAAATACCTGAAATTCAACCAAATCAACCAATATAGCCATCTAGCAAAGAATTCTTACCCGTTGGTAGAAAAAATGTTCTTAAAGTGAAATGCAGCGTTTATATAAGTGGCCATCACATACCGCAAAATGCATGCGTCTTCCGAATGAAGAATTAAGGCCCCGTTTAAAACATTGACAAACAAATGTATGTCGCCGGAATAAGCAAAGTTTCCTGCCATGGCCTCGAACATCCTTGCAATAAGTCTTACCCACATGAATTTGTGCAAAACATCCAAGCCCAATAGTTCTTTGCCCAAAGGGCCGCTCTTGTACAAGTGCAAATCCGACTCTAAAGCTTTGCGAGGAAACGAGGGCAGTTTCATTAGTTCTTCGTGCAAAAACACCACTCTTTGCACCACCATGTCTACGTTCTTAAGAATGGCCCACGTCAAAAGGACTTTGCCGCTCTCAACAAATTTGTGCACTAATTCTTGTTTTTGTAAGGCGTGGAAGGCCTTTTCAGGTTCCATATGCACCAGTTCCAATTGCGGATATTGCGATCGTTTGAAAAAATAATAATCGCGCACGTAGGCTGAAGGATTTCGTATTTGATCTGTCAAAAATTATTTTCAATATGGTGTAAGTTTAATTGGAACATATCGTACGTGTTTTGTAATCGACTAAAAAGTACTCTGCGTGCCTGTTTTCTTCGATACCGAAGAAATCCAAAGCTTCGCGTAAGATTTGGCAGAACTGAGTGTCCTCTTGTACGGGGAATTGGGATGGGATACCTCCTGCATCTGGATCTACATCATTTTCAATTATATTATTATGTCATTGTTCTTAAATAATAAGCACATGTTATATATTTAGAAACTTTTAAAATGTCCTGTATTTTATATCTTGTTACCTTTATTATTTGTCAATATTAGTTATATGCGCTGTATAGTAATATTCTGAGTTTATTAAAGCCTGTATTCTTGAGGTTTTCTTTTATTTCAGCACATTTGTGACATCACGAGGTTACTGAACCTGAAGATGAACCCATAAATTAACAATACTTGGAGAGGTTACCAGGTATGGTATGAACCATGCAAAATCTTTTGTAGCTATTACAAAAAAAAAAAAAGTTCTGGGGATGGGCCAGGGAATGCCTCAAAGCCCTGATGGCTCTGTACACTGCAGACTTCGGCATCACATGCACAGGATCGGGATGGCAAAACAAAAATGCAGTGGGAGAGGATGAAACTGCACGTGTCCGGCTATAGCCAGAATTAAGCATGCTGTTTTCGGAGAGTCAGCTGTTTTACCCGACTACATAAAGTAGTGGCGGCTCGTCAGAGGAGGCAGGGGACTCAGGGGAGGCTAAGCTTCCCCCAAAAAATTGAAAATTCAATCTCAGTTTTTTATTCCTGATTCCTAATTAAAATAATAATTCACAAATTACCCTTTCCAAATTTCGATATCTCAATGTAATTTAGAAAAATCTGACATTATTTCAATCAATCCCGCGCCTACACGATAAAAATATGTAAATCTGGGATACTCAGTAATACGAGCCCGAAGGGCCGGAGTTATACGCGAGCCCGAAGGGCTAGAGTTATTTTATTCACGGAGCCCAGTCTATAGTTCTATTGGTCAGCGGATAATTTGGAGCCAATCAAAAATCAGGAATATTCATAAGGTGATGGAAGAAGACCAACATATATGGTCAAAACGTCGCTAAAATAAATAACAGCGTGTTTTTTTTGCTGTCCTATTCCCGCTACTCCTTTCACTGGTATAATTATTGATAGCATTCGTAAAAAAACTTAAGCATAATGGCGGGTCATTTGAAAGTGCAGTATTTAATGCTGAGGAAGAATTTATTAACAAATTGAAGAATTGGCAAAAGCGGAACAGTGTGTTAAACACAAAAAGGATCTGTTGGCAGAAAAGAAAGAATGGCAGGAGACCAAAAAACAAATGGAGACAAAGATTGAAGAACTGAAAAGAAGAATGGATGATCTGAAAGAAGAGAACAGGAAATTAGAAGGTCAGATTACATGTTGTTTGGCAAAATGTAATGGATTCAGAGTGAGACTGCAAGAATTAATGAAAACATATAGATAAATGATTACCCACTATAAGAGTATTGAAAGAGGATATTCAGACCTACAAGAATGAGATCCTAAAAGTCAGAGAAGGTAAGCACTCTATGAGTGAAGTTATGAAAGAGCAGACAAAGAAGCAAAATAGGGATAAAGCAACAAGACAAAAGAACAATATTCTTATTTGGAGTGATAATCTTGGACATCAATTAGAAACGTTTTGGAGTGTTATGGAAGTGACAATTTCAACGTGTATCCTGTGAGAATTATGCTATAATAAACAATATAAAGGAGAATATGTCAGAGCTCGCAAAAACTATACAAATAATGATTATAAAACTCATTATGGGTGGTACAATAAATGTATTGTCACGGCTTTGGATCGCCGGACAGAAATCTTGGGTTCGTTGTTCGTTTCGTTTATTCCAAAAATCAAAGTCCAATTAACACAGCAATAATTTATTCCACTAGACAATACACTCTGACACTAATTACTTTAATAAATAACACTAAACTCAACAATTAAACTCTTACAACTCGCAATAATCACTATTTAAATCACAGTCAAACTTTAACTAACTACAAAGCAATAGCCGCCTTTATATATCCCTAAATCTATTCCTGTGAAATCTAGAATACACACGATAATCTTATTTTTCCGAATTAAGTAGAATAATTCGCTAGATTCTAGTATACTCAAGAGATAATACCGAGAGATTCTTGACAGCCTGGCGAATCGTTACAGTATTAAGGGGTATAAGAGTACAAGAGAAAACTTTGCAAAAGCTTAGAAACGTTAGAATGCACACAAATTTTATCCTTTTTTCAGTGCCCCTGTGGAATCAGGATAAAATTCTAAATAGATACATCAATGAACTAAAATAAAATGGTGGTTTATACTGTACCTATTTGTGAAAGAAAACTTGGGTAAGTTTCCACACTTTAAATCTCTTTCAAACTTGCAGTATTTTATGCTGAGCGAAGATTAATATATTAAATATGGAGGCAAGGTTAAAATTGCGAGTTTACAAAACTTGATAATAAATCAAAAATCAAGTCCGATCAGTGTTATAGATGTAGTCCCCAGTACATCGACCTTAAAATTTTGTAACTCATATACACGTCAAACTTCCTGAGCGGCTTCATAACACCAAGTCGGACAATTTTGTTCCTATGTTCAACCTGTGCGATGGGACATTGTCGCGCTAGCTCTTCGTGAAGTTGTCATTCTGACGTCCCTGAGAACATTTCGAAAACGATGGGTGTTGCTGTGTTGCGGTTTGAAGCAGGACAAAGCAGTAATACAGCAGTACAAGCAGAAGTGCATCCTTAAGATCCTGCTTCCAATGTGTTGCCAATTTCCCCGACGTCTGTGACACTTCCCATGATTATCCCTCGTACTAGATAAAATTTGCCTATTAACAACCCTTTGACAACGCAGATAGGATTCAAACTATTGATAGACAACTCCACGGAAATTATAAAGATGCAACTTCGCAAAAAGTATATTGTCACAACCCCTTTATGTTTTGTCCATTGTGACTTGCGGTTGTAGGTGGGGGTTCAGGTAGAGAGAAACTCGCTTGGTCTACAATAAGGAATGTATTGATGAATAGATAATAATAACCCTATGAACAGCATAGCGTCGCTTCTACGGAGGAACGTACTACTTAGGCCACTGTGTAGACTCTGTACACTTGGCGTAATATTCTGACTAAAGTTGGGTTTTGAGGCAGGTCCAGAAGTGCGTTTCCGTATAAAGGTATTTTAACTAGACGGGTTTTTCCCAATTGAGGTACTTTGCACTAGCCTTAATCTGCCGGTAATGAATTTCGGCCCGGTATTTATACTGAATTAATGCCGACTCGTCGACAAACTTTAATAAAATTGATATACAGTATTTACGTATTTACCTAAGTAGTTGACAATACCATGTCTGACAGTCATGCCTTTGTGATATCGGAAAACACCGCGGCTGCAACCTTACTATTATTTATTTTAAAATATAACTGTTCCAGAAATTTGTTCATGGTATCGTTTTGCTTCTAGAGCGAAACCCAAACTGAAAGGGATTCAGAACATAGGCGTATCCAGGGGGGGGGGGGGCTGCCGGGCTGCAGCCCCCCCCAAGGCTTGTCTAAACTATTTTTTTCAAGGGAAGATTTTATATATTATAACCATTATTCAATTTTCCCTCTCATAATAATTATTCTGCATACCGTACTTTCCATTATTATTCGTAAATATTCTCAATATCTATTTTTTATGGTGCAGTTTATGTACGTACTTTGTTGAATTTTCCTTAATAGAAATAAAGTTTATTTCACAATATCCTAATAAGATTTTTCTATGAATTATCTATATCTACTACAGGGTCGCATAGGAGCTATTTCGGCCCTGATTTGAGGGCGAAATTTGATACTTTTCGGCCTGCAGGGCCACAAAATGCCACTTATTTGATGGCTGGTCGCACAAAAAATTACTATTTTAGCCCCGCAAAAAAGAATAGTCGCGTAACGTTTGGGTATGTTACAGGTAAATTCCTTACAAAAATTGGGCGTGGCCCCAAAAAAATTTTTCGGCTGCGGCGCTTTTTTTTATCAGCACTTTTTGTTAGCACAGCCCCCCCTAAACCAAAATCCTGGATACGCCAATGATTCAGAAAATTGTTATTTTCGTAAAAGGAAGTCATTATTTCGTAAATTTCTGAATTATTTTGAAAAGGGTGGATAACCATGATATTGGCCTTTTAGTCCAAGAGCCCAGAGCCGCCAGACACAACTTATTTTCTAAAGGACAGAATATGTGGGATTGAGTAGCACTTATAGGTACTATGAACGTATGTATACTCGCTAAGTTGGGCAGACGGCCAAAAAAAAAAGACGATTTTCCCGATCGAAAACAGCCCGGAAAAGTGGAAAATTCGAGAAAAAACTGGATAAAAATGTGGACACGTCAAATAAAAATGGCCGACTGTCAAAAATGACAAATGATATTTATTACAAGGCTTCCTTGATTGAAGATAGCCACAAGCGGTGTTGCCACATCATAAGCATTTTAAATGGAATTTTGCTAATTATGGTATTTAAAAGTTGAAATTTTTGCTAGAAAATAGAAAAAAATCAAAGCCTCGTATGTTAAATCGATTTTTTCCAATAAAAATCCCCAGAAAAGTCGAAAATTCCAGGAAAAACTGGTAAAAAATCACAAGGCGTCACTTCAAAATTGCCGACTAAAAGCAACATTGCCACATTACATCTTAGAAAACAAAAATAACATTTAAAATGAGTTTTTTGTTTAAAATTCAATTAAAAATTGTTAAATATTATTAAATAATGATTATAATAATTAAAATCCCCTAGATAAAGCATCGGAAACTTGTTTTTAGTTTAATTTCATTGAAAATGACATTACAAGGTTTACTTATTGATTATAATGAGTAAGACAAAGAGAACGATAAAGTAGTATATGTTTGCAAAAACCACCGTTTTCTGAAAAAAATCTTAAGAAAACCCAATATAAAACCAACATTCCAAAGTCAACTTGATAAAATTAAAGTTTTTGAATATTCTTGGCTCTTTGATTGGGTGGTAAAAATCGCATTTTGAATATTCCCGGTTTTTGATTGGCTCCAAATTATCCGCTGACCAATAGAATTAAAGACGGGGCCCGGTGATTAAAATAACTCCGGCCCTTCGGGCTCGCGTATAACTGCGGCTTTTCGGGCTCACGTATAATTCCGGCCCTTCGGGCTCGCATATAATGAACAGTTTTCCCGATGGAAACCGGCCTGGAAAAGTGGAAAATTCGACGAGAAACTGGATAAAAACACTCGAAAATGGCCGACTGTCTAAAATGCCAAATGACATTACATTACAAGACCTACTTGATCAAAAGCGACGTTGCCATAATTACAAACTCAAACATAATGTTTTTTCAGATTTTAGTGAGTAAAAGAAAGAAGAAGATAAGGTAGGATATTTTAGTAAAAAACCAAAAGCGATTATAAATGAGTAAGACAAAAAGCGAGATAAAGTAGGAAACAATTCAAATGATCAGTTTGTCAAGTCAAACTATCGTCAGAGTAAATTTTCGATTGTTACCGGTTCAAACACTTGAAATAATTACTCAATATTTTTTTGACATTTGACAAACCTACATACAATATTATGACTTTTGACAATTGACAAGTTAATTTTCAGGACCACCTACGATTGTTATGACTTTTTTTTGTCAATTGACAGCCTTGTGATTTATGGCGTTTCCGATTGGTAGATTCAGTGCGCACTGAGTGTATTTGCATCCTTTTAATCGACCCGTAGAAGAAAAAGACAGAAATAGAAAAAATTGCACTAGTTCTGCACTAGATCTACCAATCGGAAACGCCATTAGATTGAGGCCTACAACAGCAACGTTGCCACATTTTAACAGTAATTTTGGAGCATTTATAATTGTAAATGTAAAACGTTGACAAGTGGCAATTGACATCAAGAAACGATTGTTATGGTGTTGTAGACTGATTGAAATTTTTAGCTTTTGGCAACGCTGTAACGCTAGAGGATTGACATGGCGTCTTTTTTTAATCATGAGCCCAAAGGGCGAGAGTCTTTTCAATCTTGAGCCCACAGGGCAACAAAGAAACGTCATTTTGTATCGAGTTTTAAAGAAAACAAGGCCTACTTTGAAACGTCAATTTTTTAACGTTTGTTGTATCTTAAGCAGTGTTGCCGTATGTTTTTTTTTCAAATCTTCAGCCTAAATGGCTGGTGTTGTTTTAATTACGTTACGAGCCCGAAGGGCCGAGGTTATACGAGCCCCAAGGGCCGGAGTTATATGAGACCACTCCTTGCCGTAACCCGCTCTGTTACAATTTTTCTTTAAATTTGGTACAAAAAATTTTTGCTCTCTGGCAACACTGTATTGACATAATTACCTTGCGGTCCATGAACAATAATTTTTTTGGCCGACGGCACGTTGGCCGTCAACAAAATCGAAGCGTCGCACTGTTCCTTGCGTAAAATCTGCTTCAAATCTTTAAACATGATCCCGTGGACACTGTGAACAACCTAAATTTGATTCAATCGTTTATTAATAAAGCCTGAAACCATCAATCAAAATTACCATCCATAAAAGCGACAGAGCTGCTCCGATCAATTGCTGGCCTTCTTCATGCGGGCTACGCACGTAAAACATCACATAACCGATTATGTAGTTGTACAAAGCAAAGGCCGCTTGTTGAGGAAGTTTGGGAATAAATCTGATCAAATGCCGCAGGATTTTGAACATTGTCTCTTGCTTGTCTCTAGTTAGTCTTTCCAAAACATATCTGCAAAACAATAATTAGTTTTTATTGCTAATATTTGCTAAATTAGGTTACTGACCTCAAAAACAAGGCACTGTCCTCTACCAAACAAGTCCAAATTACTGAATAGGCTATTTCGTAGACTGCGCAGCCGTCAGCTGACACTGCTGCGTCGTCTAGTAGGCTGATAATAGACACTACAGCTGCGCAAAGATTTGAGGGAAATAACGAGTGGGCTGAATGCAAGTGATGGCCGGTATTTCTTATTTGTGCCCCCTCGTTTTCTTCATTGTCACCTATAAATGAAATTTTTATTTGTGTGATCTTAGTAAATTAGTTTCACTTTGTCGAACCATCTTCAGCATGTTCTTCTCCAGTCGTATGATACAAACTAGGCTCATGAGCTGCCTGCATCGTTATAGGAATAGTAGTAATCAGAAAATTCTCTCTTTCCTCGCGTTTTTTGTCATCTTGAGCCTGCAAGGCCATTTTAATGAGTTCGGTTTGTTGCTTCTTGCGCGTTTTGGTAGCAGTAACCAGCGACCTCTACAAAAAGTTAGTTGAACTACAGGGCAAACCCACTTAACAACCAGCATACGTGTCTCTCCTGGTTTATAGTGACTTCTTCGACTTTTGTTTTGACCAGCAATTCCCATGGTGAGTCTACTACATCCAAACACTCAATACCAATTTTCGGTGAAGGTAACGTGAATTCGATACCTGGAGGTGGAATTTTAAAAAGGGAGTGGGCGTTTTCTTCCATCCTTGGCCACACTTGGAACCGCATTTTCCATAAAACTTGAAACCTTAATAGGAGAGATTGATGGAAAAGTGTTGAAGGATTTCAGTCTTGACCTTAACCAACTGACAGTGAAGAGTCTAGTAATGACAGTTCTGAATATAATTCAGTACTAAGGAAAACTTACATGATGAAACAGGCACACGAGAACAAAGTCTCAGAAAGTTTTTCAAACTTTTGTAAAGGCTCATAAGACAAAATGCAATAGCAAGTTTTTTTGTTTGTTTTTCTACGTCTCAAGGACCAAACCTTGTCTGTGAACGTAAACAAAGTGCTGAAAAGTATTATCAGTTGATGGTCGCAAATTAAGAAGTTCAAGAAAAACTTAGAACAGTTAATCTACATTATGTGCGTGCTCTCAGTATTCAAAAGATTTTATTAGAATAATTTAGTGAAAGTAAGGGAAAATTGTAAGTATGTACATGAAGGAAATTGAGACTTTAGTATACAGGCCGAACCAACCTACTAGAAACTAATGGATGAAGGAAACAAAGAAAGAAGTGACCAGCCGAAAAGCAAATAAATTACTTAAAATTTTGGTTCAAACATCACATTGATGGGACATCGATTGTAGATGATGAACGAAAGAGAATATATTGAGATTGTGATGAATTTGTGATTTTTTCCAGAGGAATGTTGTACCAACAGAATTATGAGCTGAAAAGAAGCCTAGACGAAAAAAAAACTGAGGTTGTATATCTGTAGCTGAACAATGGAAAATTCAACAGGCAGATAAAAGAATCTCACATGATAGATTCGAGCAGCTCTTAAAAAAGCTGATGGACGGAAAAAAATACGGATACCTCGTATGATTTCCTTTGATTCTAAAACTGGAGAGATTATTCCACTGATACCCTTTTTTGCAGGACTTAGTGCATTGGGTACCCTTGCTGGAGGTGCAAATACCATTGCAAAAACTTTTATATAAGCTAAGAATGCTCGGAAAAAAATAAATGAAAATGGTTAATTGAACGCTATGGAGGAAATAAGGCATGGGACTGTACCTGGAAACCAAACCTCTGCTAAAGCAAAATTTCCTTTAACTAGAAAAGCTGTTTGATGCAAAATGGATTTTCAAGTGAAAGTTTAATAAAAATGGGAATTTCTAGATTTGAATAGATTGGAATCAATACAATAAACCATGGAATATAGGAGGAGATTCTTTGATGATTTAAAGCCAGAAGAACCAGAAAAACAACGACTTTTTTGACGCCCCCTCTCTGTTGATTGAAATAAGAGAGAAGAGGACATCCAATGCAAATAATGTCCCAGCCTTGATTACTAGAGAAAAAAATAATAATTCTCACCTCAAAATCGCATTAATCCTAACAACAGGCTGAACATTGGTCAGTCCATGTTGCATAATCTCGGTCACGCTGGCCGGAGCTTTGACCGACCCTAAAATGAAAACAGACGCAGCTGCTGCCGCCACTTCCTGGTTCATTTCCAGCAAAAGTTCCCAAGCCACCGGAACAATATCTGCAAAGTTTTCTTCTGTTAAAATAACAGCGCCTTTAAGCAAAGTAGCTAAAGGGGCATGGAAAACGTCCTTGACTTGCGTTTGTATGTACTTCAAAATCGCTGGAGGTTCTGTGGGTTTGTTTTCGTCGTTGGTTTTGGTAGACGAGCCGTTGTTGCCGCCATCTGAATCAGCAATGTCCCTGGACGAGTCTTTTGAGGCTAGTTTGCTCGCTTGCGAACCATCGATTCTTTCTTTTTTGCCCACACTATCCTTCCTTCTTATGGGACTCACTTGCGAACTGGTTTGATCGGAAACCTTTCGGTTGTTTTTCTCTTTTTTGTTGGCTTTCTTTTTGACATTAGTGTCGTTGGTGAATTTGTCGTCTATGACCCCAAACTCTTCTCCATAGACTTTGCGTACGGCTTTGATCAGGCGCGAACATCCTCGCATGACGCGCCGATGGCAAAACGGATGACAGAAATTTTGGTGGTTGCAAAAGTAGAACAAATCGTTGGAGGTTTGAACCATGACCTACAATAATTTCAACATAATAATATGCTGTGTCTTTTGACCTTCTTACCTTTAGCCATGGCATATTTTTAGCAGTGTCGTCAGTTTCGTTACTGTCACTGGGACTTTCAGGGGGTTGATCGTCGCTTAAAACTCCCGGCGATTCTTCGCCGCTTACTTCTCCAGCAACTCCCGGCTCAGAAGTATCGCTACGATCCGACAGCGAGCTCACTTTACGTTTCGACTGTATCGAATCGGTGCGTTTAACGGTTTCCGGAATACGCCCTTTATTAAATGAAGTTTTATCAAAGCTTGGAAATAAATAAAATCGATTTTAAGTTTAAGCAGTCTCTCAAAAAAAAAAGAGCGCAAGACGTTCGATCAGTAGCAAATCAAATTTGACGCTAAGCAAGCAACAAACATACTAATTCATAGTTTAAACACTAATACCGTTAAGGTACTATAAGTATCATCATTTGTTCTAAGTCAATATATGTATTACTGGATTCGCGTAAGGTGGCAAACATGTGAAGCAAAAAGTAGAATTCACAGCTGATGTATTAGGAAAAACTTCTTTTTTCAAGCAGTTCACATAATTTCGATAAACCCATAGGTTCAATACAAAATTCAAACTTTGGTTTAGGTGAGTAGTAAAACAAGGCAACCACTGGCTTATTTCCAAAGACATTTATTGCGGATGGCCTGTGTCCAAGGAGTGACCATTCTTTAGCTGAAGAAGGTTAGCGTCGTCGATAATGACCAGAGGCTGCTGAAAAAGTCACGCTGTGCGCTTTATTGTTCGGTGAAGTATTCTAAGAATAAACTATATAGCCTTGAGAGTGAGCCTGTAGTGGCATTGTTTCACTACTTAGGTAATAGCTTAGTCAGTCGTCATCTTGTTTGTTAGAAGATTTGCTAATCCTTCAAATGGATTGCTTTTTTTGCGGAGTCACTGATTATCTGATTGTAGTTTGCCTGCGACATTCCCAAGAAATAAGTTCATCAGTATATGATGTTCGATTTGTCGCTCCACTAGTCAAATCTGCATCGGTGTTTCTAGTCAATTTTTCTTCAGATTTACAATAAACTGATACTTTCTTTGCTGTTTTTTGAGATAAATCAATACGCGCTTCGCAGCTTACCGGTGTTCTAGACCATACTTGACTCAAATAGGAGGAAATGTCAGGTCTGGAAGTGATACTCGAATAGATTTAAGCGTCCATTTAATTGCTTCCATTGTTTTGTTGGTCGTTTATGTTCTGTAAGTAACTTTGGCTGATGGCAACACTGCAACAGCAACAGCTGATCGGTGTAAAATGAGCCAAGGATATTGGGAGTTAATCTAACCTAGAGAGAAGCGTGCTGATGAGTTTAAATGATCGGTCTTCTCTTGGAAGTGTACTTTAAGAAAATGGAAGACGACCTAAGAGCTCGCCTCTGGGACGACCTTCCGGGACTGAGACACTCTAAGATATTCCTTGGAAACTTCAATCCCAAAAAATCTAAAGCTCTAGTAAATTTAAGTAAAACTAAACTAAGAATTCTTACAGGATTTATGAGAGGGCACTGCCACCTTCGAGAACACCGCAGGAAAATGCTACTCGAAAGATCCAGTGAATGCAGGCTTTGCGGGGAGGAGGAAGAAACCCAAAACACCTACTAACCGTATGCGAAGCCGTCGCTAGAAGCCGGGCTACACATCTCGGTGACTATGTAGTTTTAGAAGGAGACATACCATCCTTGACACCGTACCAGTTACTAGCCCTCATCAAGGCTATAGGACTGGACGAAGTACTATGATTTGAGATCCACATCAAATCGGCTTCAGCAGGGGGCACAATAGATCTTTAGGTCGCAGTGCAACAACACCCCAATATTAATCTAATCTAATCTACTCTACTGATCGAATTGTTTTGCTCATACTTTATATTTTGGTAAGAAGAAGAAGAAGGTCCACTAGCATTTGAATTTGTAAAATTTTGCTTATAGTATCCCACACAACGACTAACTTTTGCTGCATCGCAAAAAATATAGGAACCAACTTCCTCCGCAAGAATTTACAAGCATAGGTTCACACAAATCCTCCAACTTTTCATCAGTGGAAATCTCTCTTCGATGAATTTTGAACGGTTTACGGCTGTGCTTTCCTTGAATACAAGACACAAGAATCTTTGAGAAAAATCCGGTCTTGTGTTTGGCTAGATATCACCCACTTCCTTCTTCCCCTAACGCAATGGCTTCTATCATTTCGTTGTGTCGCTTAGACTCGGCAAGTTTATCCTTTGCAGAATGAGTATCATTTATCGCTTTTGCAATACCCGAAGCTCTACCAGTCAGGGCACCTAATGCACCGAGTCCAGCGAATAAGGATACTAGTGAAATAAATAATTAAACCAATACATATAAGCATAAGTAAATGTGAAGTAGGAAGTAAAAGCTGACGTAGTGGGAAACATTTCTTTCTTTGCCAACTTACACGAATCTCCGACTATAAGTATAATAACTAATCAAGTATCAATTAAACTATGATAATTTCGGCCTACATCCACATCACCGCCTATAGCTATTAAAAAAAATAAAAAGGCCAATCCACATTCCATATAACATCTCATCTGGCAAATATACCTTGATCATCCTGTCACATAACACAACACATACATGATTTTACCTTGTTCCATTTTGTATTTGTATTTAAAAATCAAATCAGTCATGCATTGTTCAATGTTAAACTCCCTCAAAAATTCTCTAAGCATGTCCAAGCCAGCGAACAGCCCATTAAAAAAAATCAACAATACCAGAGGTCACTTTTATAAATTAGTTTGCTTCTTACACTCAATCTCCATATCTCGACCCTCTTTTGTACCTCTTCGTAATTTTAAACTACGTCTTTTAAACGAACCTCCGCTAGGTGCCGCCGTACCGCGACGCAACAAATATGGCCGTCCGCTCTTTTTTGAATCTTCTTGATTTGTTGGAGGCTAACAAAAATAATAAATTTGTACAATAATTTGAAATATAATTTAATTCACCTGCATGGTCATAGTAGTGTTGCTGCTGCCTTCGGATTCGTCAGGTTCGTGCAGGACAAAACTGATTTTTCTTTCCGTTTGGGTTAAAGCTGGATCTCTGTCTCCTGCAATGCTCTGTAAGCTTTGAGCTGAAGTTTGCGAATGTCCCATTGATGATAGAGCCATGCTCCAACGTCTGTTGGCTTCTTTACTATAAAACCTCTCCCACGGTGCGGGTCTTTCCTTGCCAGTAACCCTCGAAGATTTCGGTAAGTTTTGATAAGTCTCCCTCAAAAAGGCAGTAATTTCTTGCAAAAGCACACAAGCTATCAGCCTGAGACTCACAGGACAATTCGAGCCGTAAGTATAAATGCTGGCCTCGTCCAAATAATCTTCTTCTTCGTCCTGGATTTGAAGCTCGCGCTGCTTGTCAGGATCCGACATCATCGTGGCAACGTCAAGTTCCATTTGTTTGTCCTCAGCAATCATTTCTTCTAGACGATGTCCGATCACTTCGGCCCATTGATGGAATTGTTTGCCTGCGGCTCGTTGCATTATGTGCGATCTTCTGCTGGTGCTTGTGTGCGAGGCTCCTCTGGATGGAAGTGGTCCGGATGGTCGGAACATTGGGAAGGCGAGTTTTAGTGAGGAGGGCCACTGGCCTTTATTGCAACAATGTACAAAGTAGGCGCATTCCAGTAACACTGCGGCCCTTGCAACTATTGCCGAATGAGGCTGCGTGTGAGAACAATGCAAAAATTAACTGGAGTTTAAGAGGATGGGAAGTATAATTATTACCAAATCCAGAACTGAAGCGAGTAGGAAGGCGTCGGGTACGCTTCCAGGTGGGCAAGTTTCCAATAAGAAGGATAATCGTTGCGTGCCCCCGTATACGGTGCCTGTGGAGATCAGCTTGCGTTCTTTCAAAAAAACCACTTCGGATTCTCTGGAGTTTTCGCCTTGTTCAAATGAGTTTTTGCGGCTGTAATCTGGAAAAAGAATCAAACATCATCATAGGTACTAGAGTTTGTTTTTGTCGATTTCAGGATTTTGAATTTTTGAGCAAGATGTCAAGAAAATCTTTTTCGATGTTCAATTTTTGATTATCATCGGCTCTTGATTCGGATCAAGTGCCAAGAACAATTGTAAGCAATAAGTAAATGCAGGGTGAAGAAGGAAGTAAAAAATTTCCAGAATAAGTATCGTTTATCGCTTTTGCGATACCCGCAACTCCCCCACTTAGGGTACCTAATGCATTAAATCCAGCGAACAGGGATATTAGTGGAATAAACCCGCCTATTTTCGGTACTCGGTGACTCGTGGAACTCGAATATTTTTGGGGCTGTTTTGTTGGTGATGTTTTGCAAACCTAAAAACTTTTTCAATATTCAGATGTTAATCTTAAGCTGGTAGCAAGCCAAGTGCTGAAAATACCTCAGATTTCGACTATTATTGGCTCTTGATTCATTGAAACATTTTTCTAGGGAAATCAAAAGCTCTAAAACTTCAAATTGTAATTGTTATCGGCTCTTGATTCGTTGGGATTTGTTTTTGAAGGCTTTCAAGAGCCGACAACGGTAATACTTCTAATTTTAATCAAAGTATTTTGCAAACCGTAAAAACTGCAATTTTCTATAGTTCAAAGTATGATTATTATAATACAACTGTATATTTCTACATGGGCTTTGCGTTGACTGACTAACTGACGGACTGACTCATTGACCCCTGATAATCAAGGAAATTGCGAAATTTCTGGTTGAAAGTGCTTTTCCATTAAATTTGACCCCCTCTTTCGATTAGAAAAATCAAAAAGAGGTAAATTTAAAAAAAAAAACGGGATGAATCTTTTATTGGAATAATTTAGTGAATTAAGGGAAAAGTTGTAAGTACACGACACGTGAAAAAATTGTGATTTTACTTACGCCATCTACCATCTAACTGAAAATACAATATTTGGGCGGACAACTACAAGTTCATAGTTGAAAATGTGTTCCTGGTTGCAAAATGGGAATTTTCAGCAGTGAAGTTCAGCAGTGGCCAAAACATTCAAACAACAACAAAATACAACAAACACTTACACTTGCTGCCTCCGCCAGCTTCCTCCATACTGCCGTCCTTCTTCTTCCCCTTTTTCAAAAACTTCAACTTATCGTCGATACGCCTTTTGGCCTTTAGCAACGTGTGGCTGACGTGACTCTTGCCAGAACTTTTCCTGTGATAATACTTGGACGTAGTCGGTTGCCTGACAACGAAACTCGTAGAATCGTTGTTGCAGCTTTCAGCCCCGTTTTCGGTCGATTCTATTTCGTCGACCGACTGAGACTCACCCTTTTTGAACCAGTTAACCAAGGAAGAGCCCAGTTTGGATTTTTTCTGTTGGGATTTGATTACAATACTTTCAATGGCGACGCCCAGGGCTTTCTCACTTTGACGCGGCGTCAGGATGTGGTGCTTTTTACGCAAGTTACCCAAAGGGCTTTGATTCGATTTGGTTAATAAGTCTTCAGTTTCGGTTTCTAGTAAACTCTATAGAAATTTCTTGTTTGATTTAGCAATATTTTATTAGTAGATGTAGATGGTTTATTTTGAGTCAAAAGCGAACCATCTACCTCTACCTTTATATACCTACAGGACATGTTGAAGAAGTGCTACGTTTTTTGAATAGCAACTTTCGTACTACTCCCTTATCATCTATGGTGTAGGTTGTTTCTCCTTGCATGTCTATATCGTTTTCGTCCACGTTACTTGTAGATTGATGCATGTGTCTTTCATGTAAACATTATTAACCATTAAAAAATTTAAACATTGATTTACTAACCGTATAACTCTTGTAGTTTGCACAGGCCCGTCTCGTTTGTTATTTCTCTCAGCTGTGTCGATAAGCGCACTGAGAGCCACTCTTCTAAAAGCGCCTCCATGGACTTCTTTGACGTACGTCATTAACTGTCTTATTTCACAATATAGGCCCTATATAAGATTAGGATTTGAGTAAATACAATCAAGTTTCAAAAATTTCTCTTACGATATTATCGGGCGATCGAATTTCTTTCAAGGCTTCTACAAATCTAGTTACCAATGGTTTGAAACAGTGACTGACCACGTGACCTTCCACACCTCTAACGCCACTAGTACCACCTATGGACAAATCACATTAAAATTATCCATAAAGTTGCAGTTCTTACCTAAAGGCGATAGTAACGATGTTGGATCCACACAGTAGCCCATATAAGCGTGTAGCACATCTAAAATTTCAGTCAGCGACTGATTTTTAATATATTCTCTCAGAAACTTTTTGAATTGTTTCTGACTGGCTTTGTGCAATCTGGTGAGTATGTTTTGGCATTGGGTGCGTAAAAATTCGGCGGCAGGGCCTCTTTGGCCGTCGACGCAACCGTGCGGACATCCGAGATGTTTGAGGACTCTGAAAATTTCCATTAAAAATATGTTCAAGGCTTGTGAAGTCGCATTCACCTCACAATGGTGCTCATTATTAGTTTATGTGCTGACATGGGTGGGTCAGAAGCAACACTTTCGCCCCCAAACGATGTGTGTGTGGCACTAGTAGGAATTTTTTCTTTGTCAGTTTTTTTGGGAGTGTCATCGTTGGCCTCTTCGCCAGGAAGACTCGATTGCACATCTTCCTTATTGCTGATTTGCTTCAAAATCCCCATATCGATTAGAAGCTCTAATAAGTTCAGAATCACTTCTAGGACCCTCAAGGTGCAGGAGGTGCCTTCGCGCAAGGATGTACGATAAACGGCTTTGAGTACCACGTAGAAATCGATATCGCCATCTTTGGTGATGTAGCATATCGAGCCAGGGGCTTCAGGAATATCATCGCTGTTGTAAGTTATGTTGGAGTCGGTTTGTGATCTTGTTAGGCTCGATTTGCGTTCTTGTTGCCAATGACCTAGGCGACCTGACAGGCTTGTTGCATCTAGTTGACTGTCAATGGAACCCTGAATTAAAATAATTTTTAGTTTTTGGTGGTTCAACATTGACTTATGTATTTACTTGTCTTCTTAAGTAATCTGGTGACGGTGTCGGAGTGTGTTCAGTGACAGTTATAATCGGATTGGCCATCGGTTGTTGTTGAACTGCTTTGCTTGTTCTTCTTCCGTCCCAGCGGTTTTCTTCAAGAAATCTGGTTGAAATTTTGAAAAAAATCAGTAATGTATTATAAACAAAGAATAGGATGATAGGACCAAGTTCATTAAACATCGGTGCAAAGAATTTTTGTCTACTAAAGATTCAAAGTTTAAGACTTAGAGTTTTCTACTTACCCCTCGGAATTGATTTCGTCAATCAAACAGCTAAAGGAGTAGAAAATAACACTTAAAAAACAAGACAGATACAGACAGTGAATAAGGTGAACAAAGATAACATTTAAAGTACAGTTGGATTTCAAGTGAATCCAAATGTACTTACATTTATATCATAGATAAAACTCATGCTGAATGTTTTAATTTAACAAACCTGAGACTAGGCATGCTTTTCCCTTTGACCAAACTGCTTAAAACAGGCTCATACGATTTCACCAAGTCCGAATTTTTTCTTGACATCTCATCACTGGTGTCCAAACTTCTGTGATAGTCCTGCAAATAAGTTCATATTGTTAGTTGGAATCACTTCAAAGATGAACAACTAAGCATGCAACTACACTACTTGCATATAAGAAATATAGAGATTGTGCAAAAAAACTTAAATACTCATCATACAAACTCTCCATCTTAGAAGCGAGCTGGGTTGTTAATGAAATTAAGTTGCAATAGATTACTACCTAAAGTGAAGAAAGAGTGTTTACATACATCCAGGATGCGTTTGGCTAATTTCTGGAAACGCACCGGTTGGGTTTGTTCCAGCGGTTTCGGTTCGTCGTGGCCGCACTTTTCCAACGCCTTGTCGGATTTCGACAGCAATTTGGTTTCTACGAATGCTTTAAGGTCGGCGATTTTCATGCGGCGTCGGCCTTTTTCGCTGGCCGCCCTTTTGTGCAGCGACTCGTCCGACGATTGTTTTTGGGTGGTGTATGGCGATTCTGGAATTAGTACCATTTAAGTAAATGTGCAACACCGGTTCTGGCGCATTTTTATATGTAAACCTCCATAAGAAAATCTAAAGTCCATTCTGCACTATTGTACCATTTTGAAGTGGGGGTAAAATTTCCAGGAATAAGCCGCGTCCCCTTTTCAGTGCCTGTGACTTCCATCGTTTAGGGTCATTGACCGTACCTGGCTCCGAGTGGCTCATCGAACACACATAGCACCTCGTGACTTGGTACCTCATTCAAGGTGTTTCGTAATAATAATGATGTAACTAATAATAAAATCCGCCTCGTGCTTTTTCTAGTTGCAGATGCAAATTGCACGAGGTGAGAGCCAAGTTTTAGGTTATGTAAATGGGGCCCCGAGAATAAAGCGCCAGAAATTGGGGGCCTGTAATACGGGTCAGTTTAATAGCTGTATCAGACCAGTCTTTAGACCTGTATAGGTGTATACAGACCTGTCTAGCTATATACAGACTTGTCTCTAGACCTGTCTAGCTATATACAGACTTGTCTCTAGACCTTTCTAGCTGTATATAGACCTGTTTCTAGACCTGTATAGTGTATACAGACCTGTCTAGAGACAGCTCTGTACACCACTAGCGTAACTTGACATCAGGGGGCCTCCGTGCAAGATTAGATTAGCCTGCTCGCCATTAACTCACGCCCAAAATAGTATATTGTATACCTAGGTAGAGAAGTTCGTCGTTATATATACCGAGCGCTTTTATAAACCTCGGCGCGAAACGCCGAAGTAAGTATGTAAGTAAAGTATGTAATGACTTTCTCTACCGAGACATATATAGATTTTTTTTACTACTGCTAGTAGAAAATAAAAATTAGGTTTGAAATCTGTGCCCAAATTATTTTTGCTTGTCGAAAGTGCTGCCTTTCATCAACAGCTTATGGTAATTTCCTATGATGTACATACAGGAACCTGTTTCCTGTTCCTGGAAATTTTACCCCCACGTTTAAACTTCAACGATTTGCTAACATGGCAATAATCGGAGCCTTTAGAACCATCCTAACGCTGGCATTGGGGGCCATACTAGGAATAATTGGAAATAAAGATTTCGTGTCTGGTAATATTATTTAATTACAAGAACCCCAAATTTCAAAAGGTACCTATAGGTAATTCTTCTTCATCTCTTTGTGGAGGCCCGGGCCTAGGAGGCTTCTGTCAGACTTAATGATTTGGGACAATGGGTTTACAGAGGGCTGAATCTAGAACATGCATAAGACAAGACCTCCTTCTTACCAGAGAGGGGCCCGTTTCTCGTCTCAGGGAATAGAGCTCCCCAAGAGAACAAATTTCTCATCTTTATCATTCTCGTTTACTTTTAGATTACGTTAACAAGGACAAAACATTCGTTCTATGGGGAAGCTCTATTCTCTAAGACGAGAATCGAGCCTCTGAAGGAATGCAATGCCTTTCCTAGACAATACAAAGTCCTCATCGCTACAAGAGACAACTGGCTAGAGCCTGACCCAGCCTTCCTCAGGCCGAAATGGCTCAACTGGTACACAGACGAATCACTGATAAAAAAGGGTACAGAGGCTGATGTATATGAAGAGAGACCTGTGGAGAGAATTAGTCTTGCACTGGGTCGATACCCAACGGTATACCAGACTGAGATCTACGCCATACAAGTATGTGCTCATAGAGGTTACGCGGACGACAAGCATATTTATACAGGGTGTTCCTAAATATCGTGTACAAACGAAAGGGGGTGATTCTTTGGTTTATTTTATAACTAAAATTCCTAATAAACATAGGTTCGCAAACGCTTCGTTACCGATCTACAAGGTGTTGAAGTTTTAATATTTTTTTTAGTTTTTTCTATATAGCTCCTGCAATTTTTGAGGAATTTAGCTCAAATTTAAAATATAGGTTACGCATCAGGGGCTGAATGATTCCACATGTCAAAAATTTGCCAGAATCTACTGGGTGATGGTTTTTCAAAGGTCATGTCCCCTTTTCTGCCCCTGAACTTTTTCGCGGTGCGCCGCTAGTCGATTCTAAGAAGCAAAATAATTTTTCTACCTTATTTAGAAACTTTTTCTTCTCTTGTAGTTTTTTCGTATCACCGACCCTTATCGAGAGAAAAATTGAAAAACAAATCTTTGTAATTAGCTAGATGAAACTAAAGTGACTCAATAAACCTTTTCTACCTAGAGTGGCGACAATAGAGATCCCGCAGCCACATTCTTGCTCATTTTCAATAGGAATCTAGGAGTAGGAAACCCCTCGCCGCCATATTCTTGCTCATTTTCAATATGAATACATTAAAACTTCAACACCCTGTAGATGGGTAACGAAGCGTTTGCGGACCTATATTTATTAGAAATTTTAGTCATAAAATAAACCAAAGAATCATTCCCTTTGATGATGATATTTAGGAACATCCTGTATAAATATGCTTGTCGTCCGCGTAACCTCTATGAGCACATACTTGTATGGCGTAGATCTAGCACTCCGAGCCCTTTGCTCAGACAAGGTCTACTCGAGGCTTACGCTTGACTGTATGACACTCCTCAAACTACTCAGTGAGCCCAACAAGTTCACCCTTGTTTGGGTGAACCCTGTAGATCGGTAACGAAGCGTTTGCAGACCTATGTTTATAAGAAATTTTAGTCATAAAATAAACCAAAGAATCACCCCCTTTCGTTTGTACATGAGATTTTGGAACACTCTGTATAAATATGCTTGTCGTCCGCGTAACCTCTATGAGCACATACTTATATGGTGTAGATCTAGCACTCCGAGCCCTTTTCTCAGACAAGGCCTACTCGAGGCTTACGCTTGACTATATGACAACCCTCAAGTTACTCCGTGAGCCGAACAAGTTCACCCTTGTTTGGGTCCCGGATCACAACTGATATCTTGACCAACATACATCCGTTGGTAAATTGACTCAGTTGAAACGAACACAATCAATACAAATCACTTACCAGCAAGTAAAGAAACATCTTTAGGCTCAGGCACTTCAATAAAATCCTTATTTTCACACTTTTTAGCATCGCTGTTGCTTTGATAAAACGAAACTTCAATTTTCGGTATCGGCAAAGAGTTGCTGCGTTTCCTCGGCTGGTGCTGGGCGGCAGTTTCTTCGCTGATGTCCCGCAATCGATTGTAAAGGAAATGCAACGCCCAATAAATGCCTTCTTCTTGCCAATCGGTTATGAAAAGACATCGGAGGACGCCGACGTCCAGAAACGTGGCGGCAGTTAAATCCATGATGTGATGAGAACCGAATTTCAAAGGCTCGTGAAATTCTGGTTTTTTGGTGTCCGTACCGCTGGAGTCTAAGGAGTCTTTGTCTGTTGAGGAGCCTACTTTTTGCATTGGAGGTCTACTTGCTTTAGGCTCTTTGATTTTACCACTTCGTCTCATGGCTAATTGAATTAAGCTTGTTTCAGCTGTATAAATTGATGGGTCTTTAAGAAATCCGTCGCTTTCATTGAGAGGAGGAAGGCTGAAAATAACTACGTGTTCTTCTTCAGTGCTGGAACTTTCTTCGGGAATTGTTTCAGGAAAAACTGTGTCTTTAGGGGATGAAACCCATGCATCATCATTTGGTGTGATTGTAGCTGTTACTACAGTTATAGGAGTTGGAGGTATATTGAATTGGTGCTGCTGCTGCGAGCTGGAATTGCTCAACTGGCCCAAAGTTGGACTATCGCGGCCTGTTGTAGCTGAGTCTGAAGTATGCGATGGTTTTCCTGAAAAATTACTAAATAATGTTGATCGATTATCTTGACTCAACTTACGCCCAGTAAATACATCATCAATTTGCGATTTCCATTTGCTATTTTTGCCATGGAAAAATTTGGGTTTTGGTTTGCAATGGGATATGAAGCAGGAAGCTTCCGGATGCCTGAATTCCCACATTGGTTGCCAGATCTTGAGGCCGTTTTCCAAACGGAAATTTTGGAAATCAGACTCTCTTAAGTTGTGACAAAGTGGAGCGAAAAGATACACAAACAACTAAAAATAATTATTTCAATTGTTGTATTAAGAATTTTTCTAAGACTTACAGTTATGGTGGGTACAGAAAACAAAAAGTGAAAATGCGAGTAATGATAAACTTCCTTATCGAATTCAGTTTCGGCGCACTCTTCTGCGGCGTCCAACAAAATCCAATGTAAAGTGTAGAGCAGCTTTGTTTCTAAAGCGCCTAAATTTTGTAAATTCCCGTCCCTCATCCGGCTGTACAAAACCGACTGGACTGCGTGCATCACGTGCGGTAGAGCCGCCTGAATCAGCCGCCATCTCGGGATGGTTTTGACCGCTTCGGTCAAGTCCTTTTTCAAGCCAGAAAAGAGGTTTTGCACAAGGACTTTTTCGAAGTTTTTGCAGGCTTCTTTCAACTCGTGATGACCGGTGATTGCGTGCTGACAAAACTGGAAACGATAGTCAAAATTAGAATTTTTTAGATAATTTTGCCAGTCTTGTGTACCGCAGGTATTAAGGACTACCGATTTTTGCATACCTATGTGGAATAAGATATTTAGTAAGACCTATAGTAGATAAGCTCTCTATTGGTGATTTTCGCGGGGTCTTAGATGGGTCTAGTAGGCATTCGTTGAATCCTTCAGTCATTCTTTTATGGGTATACTCTTGAATTTCTTATACCAGAGTGTTTTATTAAATTATTATTATTATTCCTATTTGTTTTTCTCACCATTTAAACTGGACTAAGGATAAATTGCGGGCGGCAGCCTTTATTCCAGGTAATATGGGTTATATTTAGAATGACGACTTTTTGCATTGTTTTAAACAAACTTGGATTTAACCCAACCTGTTTAATGTTGTATTGCAGTGGAAATCACTAGCGGCACAACGTGGACTTCGGTTAACTTCCAGATTCGCTTGACTTCAATTTTAAGATCCGTATATTTTTGCATCTTTTCATCTATAGTCTTCTCAAGGTTGTGAGTAGGGTTGCGAACCGTCTTGTATTAGGAAGGACGTCCTGGATTTCGAGCGATTTTAATAGATTTGTCTTTCGTCCTTCCGAACCCTTAAGAAGGACGTATTTTGTCCTGGATTTTAGCCAGTTGCTCAAACAATATAGAATTAAATACGTTTTTACTATTTATGTTGACATCCGACAACATTGCACTGTTGCGCATGAAAAGTAAGCCTAATTTTTTGATTTTTGAAATGGCTATTTCATTTTTTTAGCCAGTAATATTTCTCGAAGAAGGAGGCATAATTTACATTGAAAAAAGGCCCCCGTAAATTTAAACCAAATTTCAATATTTTAAAAAAGTATCATCATTGCAAGAAAATATTTGAAATGTAAAGAGAATCGTATGCCTGTGATATCAGATGAATGTGACACATGCAGAGTAAAATTTAAACGAAAAGGCGAGTTGAAGAGTCACCAACTAAAACACTTTGATATTAGTTATCTTTTTGAATGTGACACTTGCAAAGCAAAATTTAAACGAAAAGGCGATTTGAAGAGTTACAAACTGAATCCTTTTGAGTGTAACACTTGCAAAGCAAAATTTAAACGGAGACTCGACTGGAAGAGTCACCAAGTGAAGCACTCGGATATTTTTCCTTTTCAATGTAACACTTGCAAAGCAAAATTTAAATGAAGAGATGTTTTGAAGAATCATAAACTTACACATTCTGATATTTTTCCTTTTGAATGTGACACTTGCAAAGTAAAATTTAATCAAAAATACCTTTTGGAGAGTCACCAGTAAGTAAAATTTAAACGAAAATAAAATTTGAAAAGTCATCAACTAATAGACTCGGGCATTTGTCTTTTTGAATATGCAACTTGTGGAGCAAAATTTAAACGAAAATGCAATTTGAAGACACACATATTGAGGCATTTGAATGAGAAAATATAAAAATGCAACATGCAACGCAGAAATTAATACCAGTGGTAATTTGAAACAACATTCAGTGACGCTAAGTTTGAATTTAATGCTTGCTCTGTAAAATTTAAACTTGAAACAATTTTCAATGTCCATTTAGCATCCACAGTAGGTTAATTAACAAGTGTTTTAATTTATTATACACATACAATCTTAAAAAGTGACTTGTAATAGTTATCAATGACACTAGCTCATCTTTTCCAATTTTTGAATGTCGTTTGCGGAAACTGATTTTTTTTAAAGAAGTTGTTAGTATTTTTCGAGATATTCAAGAAAATCTACGTAGGCATATTTCCCCTCTTTACATTTCAAATTTTTTCTTGCAATGTGATATCTTTAAAATATTGGAATTTGGTTGAAATTTACGTAATTGTGCCTCCTTCTTTATTTTGTTTAAAATTAATAAAACGTTATATAATTAGGTGTCTTTTTTTGTTACTCTGTGTCCTTGTTTGTTTAGACCTTTGTCCTGGATTTCAAAAATTAATAGTTGGCAACCCTAGTTGTGAGTGTTTGGGACGGCTATATTTATAATGAAGGCTTTTTTTATTAAAGAATGTGATATCCGGTCTATTGCAATGTACGGTTTTGTCGTTACTATTGCGCTGTCATATTATATTTTATAATCGGCGGATTCTAATACTGTCTTTGGAACGTGAAGTTGTAATACGTTATTAATGTAGGAATGAGCGTTCATGTTTCTATCCAAAAAAAACTAGAGGTGACCTGTTTCAAACTGCTATGGCATCCTAAGCCATACGCCCCTAGTCAGCGCAGTCTCACTTTCCATGCAAAATTGAAGTTGGTGCCTTTCTCCACGTCTGCGAAGGACTCTTCTACGTTGCCCTACCTTCAGCAACTGCAGAACCAATTTTTCAACAAGACAATACCGCTGCAGTTACTAGAAGCTTCCTCTAACAAGCTAATGTTACCCTTTTTCTATGGCCCGCAAGGTAACCAGACTTATCGCCTATTGAACATGTCTAAGATATGATAGGTAGAAGGTAGGCTGAGGGGGTTGCGGTTACCATATCTGTTACTGGATCTACAACGTCTACTTCATGAGATAAGATTAGCCTGGAAGAAACTACCACAGGCATATGTCGATCATCTGATTCGCAGCATGCCACTAAAGAGCAGAATACTGTAGTGACGCGTAAATAAACCACCAAGAAAACAGTTAAAGATTCTGATTATTCCAAACAACTAAAGGCCTAGGATTCAACCACCGAAAATTATTCAAAAATAATAAGGACTTACCAAACAACCATCCCAGGAGAGATCATCACTTAGACAGCACAAATTAAAAATTATCTGAACTTCGATATCCAGAAATTATTGAAAGCCGATATCCTATATCGACTAATACATTTGGAATGTGAATAAAGCAAAAGTTATTGGACCTTTTTTTTTAAGTGCTTTCACCAATTAACATTCCAAAGAAGCCGAAAATTTCTAAAAGGATCAATAAATCATGCACGAGCCTATATGATGATACCCAGTTAACAAACCACTTATAGCGACGCCCTTGATAATTAAAAAAAATTTAATTGACCAAAATATTTCTGTGTTTTACTCTCCACCCGCAAATAGGACCCACTTTAAACTGTGTCTCCACTCAGAAACTAAAGTCACCGCTCGCCAATTTAACATCTTGCCAAGTTTCTGAATTTGAGGTCTCACAATACCAATACTTACGTAGAGGCGCAACTGACTCAGTAATAAACTCCGAGACATTTTCTGAAGAAATTTAGTAAAATGTTTGGCTATATGAGGGTGGAGACAGCAGAATTTTTAATACCAATAATTATGAATGTTATCACTGCCAGTACCTTTCCTAGCTGTGCAAGTTTTTTGTGAAACAAATCTTGGTAGGTACTGTGTAGGAATTTGCTGTTACTATCTGCTGGTACTGCAAAAATCAATAATAAATGCATATTTCCCTGTTTTGTTAATATAGAGAATGTCTGGTTTATTGTGAAGGATTTGCTTATCAGTATGTCCCATTAGATTTTTGCTGTTTCATTTTTGATGACAGAGCTAGGGTTGTACTTGTAATACGGAGGAATATTTTTGATGAGATGATTCTTTGTGACAACAGTGACTATGCACGATTTTCGCTGCGTCATTATGTCTGTTCAAATACTCAAATATCGGCTACCTCAATTCTAAAGTTTTCCATAAGTAGCTGGTTTCCGTTCGTTTTCATCAAATTCTTCCTGAATCCAATAGATACGTATTCTGTTGGTGGTATTCAGGTATGGACCATTATGTTTTCCCAGAATTTTTGCATGGTTTACGGTTCAGGGGGTGGAGAGTTCTCATCTTCCTTTTTGGGCTGGGTCAGTGATCTGTAAAACTTTCCTGGATCTTTCTGGAATAATTTGTTTTCTCTGTACCTGTGATTGCGTATTGCGTATCATATCATATAGTGTATTTTCCGTGTATTTATTCATGTAGTTCAGGGTGACAACCGAAAAACTTCAAACGCAACATAAATCAGCATTATGAAAAACAAAATAATATTGGCACCCTGAACTACATGAATAAATACACAGATGTAATACGGGCATAAGAGTTTCAATGCTGTGGTTTCCGCTCAATTTTTGAGTGTTTTAAGGAATTTTGAGGGCCTTGGAAGGGCCTCAATCTAGTTCTTAATTTTCTCAACTTGATTTTTCAAGCCTGTAAACCTTATTTTTAATGTCTTAGAAGCGATAAGCTTAATTTACAACGACCCAGCTTGATTTTCAAGTTCCCTGAGTGTCTGAGCTCAAACGTTTGAGTATTTCAGTGGATTTTGAGGACCTCGGAAGGGCCACAATCTGGTTCTTGAGTTTTTCAACTTGATTTTCAAATCTTTATGCTTAAATACTTTCAATGTCTTAAGCGATTAGTTTATTTTAGATTTCTTTAGTGAAAATAAGGAAAAATCGTAACTACATATAAGAAAATTGAGACTTTAATAGCTTTAACCGTTTATTGTAATGCAATTATAGGGAAATTTGTAGGCCAAAATATCCATTTTTTGGAGCTTTTAACTTTTTTGAAAAACTCTCAAGAACTTTGAAAGTTTGTGAAGAATTTCAATAGTGAAAAATTATGATACTTACTATGCATGAAGCCTCGTGAAGTTTTCCAAGCTTCGGCCGTACAAACGGACTATAACACACAAATCCAAGTGAGAAAAAATCACAAAAATGCAAAACCAAATTCTTACCTCACTTGACGCCAAAGAAAAATCTGAATAGGTATCGGAAGGGCCACATCAGCCAAATAATTTTCCCCTGGCACGTTTGCCTCTTGCGAGTGCATTTTTGCCTCTTAACTAAAACTCCAATTACTAAAAGGCAATTTATAAATTTAACTTCTTACCTGAAGAGTAATAGTAACGCAATTTTCTCGCCAGGTTTAATATTGTTATTTTAACACACTTAACGAATTACGAATGAAAGAAAAGATAGAGCGCTCCTATGGAGCTTTATCGATCCAGATCCAGATTCTGGATTCTGCGCTCGGTTGAAATAAAAATCCATATACATATAAGTGCCAAATAATAAATTTTAATTTTGTTATAATAATTTTTCTAGTATTGGTAAAAGTTGCCGTCAGAAGGTTGCCTGGAATAACCCGCATTCGTTTGAGGCGCATGGTGCGAAGAGTTCATCAGCTTTATACTGCTTGGATGTTTGTGTTCTAGTACTCCGCCGATAAGGACTTTATGGGCCTGGAAAAAATGCATCATGAAAATATACCAATAATAAGAATGTCGGAAACTTTATCTCTTGTTGAAGGATTTGAGGAAAAATTCAGTAATCTGATTAACCCGATCACCAGCTGTTAGTTTTCTATCTTGCTTCAATAAAGGCGATTGAAAAAAGATAAAATACCTACATCAGCTAGTGAACGGGTTAATCGGATCATTCGGATCAGCGTTTTCGTAAAAGCCTAAGTAGGAACATAAGTATTTTCAAGCCCTAAAACCCAAAAGACAAAGTTGCGAAAATGCTTTTCCATCAATTTTCACCTCCTCTTCTGATTGATAAGGTCAAAAATTGCAAAATCCAAAAATTTGAAAATTCGAATTTTTCCAAAGGGATATGCATGGAAATTTGATTTTCAAATATTTCAAAGGTCCATATTTTGGAAACCGGTGAAGCTATCGGCATGAATCTTAATAAGGGCTACAAAAAAGGTTATTTGAGACTCTGAGCCCAAGGGCTTCGTTTTCGATAAAATCAGCTTTGAATCTTTTGTGGAATTTGAGACAAAGTTTTGAATTTGAGCCTCAATCTCTCTAGAAGTATTTGAGATAAAGAATTGAATCTAATTTTATCTTGAAGATAATTTAATTCTGATTCAGAATATATAATTCTACATCATATTTGTTGCAATAATAACCGAGTAATGAGCGATTTTGTGAGACAATATCTGATTATTGAAATTTTCTGGGCCCAAAATGTGGAAAAAACGGTTTTTATTTTTTTACAAGCCCTAAAACCCAAAAAACAAAGTTGCATAAATGCTTTTCTACTAATTTTTACCTCCTCTTTCGATTGGTGTAGTCAAAAATTGCAAAATCGAAAAATTTAAAAATTCGAATTTTTCCAAAGGGGTATGCATGGAAATTTGATTTTCAAATATTTCAAAGGGCCATATTTTAAAAACCAGTGAAGCTGTCAGCATGAATTTTTGCTCAATTGTAGCACTTGATAAGGGCTATAAAAAAGGTTATTTGAGACTCCGAGCCCAAGGGCTTCGTTTTCGAGAAAATCAGCTTTGAATCTTTTGTGAAATTTGAGCCAAAGTTTTGACTTTGAGCCTCAATATTTCCAGAAGTGTTCAAGATAGAGAATTGAATCTTATTTTATCTTGAAGATAATTTAATTCTGATTCAGAATATATAATTTTACATCATATTTGTTTCAGTAATAACCGAGTAATGAGCGATTTTGTGAGACAATGTCGGATTATTGAAATTTTCTAAGCTCAAAAATTGCAAAAATAGTTTTTATTTTTTTACAAGCCCTTAAACCCAAAAAACAAAATTGCGAAAATGCTTTTACATTAATTTTCACTTCCTCTTTCGATTGGTGAAGTCAAAAATTGCAAAATCGAAAAATTTTAAAATTCGAATTTTTCCAAAGGGGAATGTATGCATGGAAATTTGATTTTCAAATATTTCAAAGGGCAATATTTTGGAAACCAGTGAAGCTGTCAGCATGAATTTTTGCTCAATTGTAGCACTTGATGAGGGCTATAAAAAAGGTTATTTGAGACTCCGAGCCCAAGGGCTTCGTTTTCGAGAAAATCAGCTTTGAATCTTTTGTGAAATTTGAGCCAAAGTTTTGACTTTGAGCCTCAATATTTCCAGAAGTGTTCAAGATAGAGAATTGAATCTTATTTTATCTTGAAGATAATTTAATTCTGAATCAGAATATATAATTTTACATCATATTTGTTTCAGTAATAACCGAGTAATGAGCGATTTTGTGAGACAATGTCGGATTATTGAAATTTTCTAAGCTCAAAAATTGCAAAAATAGTTTTTATTTTTTTACAAGCCCTTAAACCCAAAAAACAAAGTTGCGTAAATGCTTTTCCACTAACTTTCACCTCCTCTTTCGATTGGTAAAGTCAAAAATTGCAAAATCCGAAAATTTAAAAATTCGAATTTTTCCAAAGGGGTATGCATGGAAATTTGATTTTCAAATATTTCAAAGGGCAATATTTTGGAAACCAGTGAAGCTGTCAGCATGAATTTTTGCTCAATTGTAGCACTTGATGAGGGCTATAAAAAAGGTTATTTGAGACTCCGAGCCCAAGGGCTTCGTTTTCGAGAAAATCAGCTTTGAATCTTTTGTGAAATTTGAGCCAAAGTTTTGACTTTGAGCCTCAATATTTCCAGAAGTGTTCAAGATAGAGAATCGAATCTTATTTTATCTTGAAGATAATTTAATTTTGATTCAGAATATATAATTTTACATCAAATTTGTTTCAGTAATAACCGAGTAATGAGCGATTTTGTGAGACAATGTCAGATTATTGAAATTTTCTGAGCTCAAAAATTGCAAAAATAGTTTTTATTTTTTTACAAGCCCTTAAACCCAAAAAACAAAATTGCGAAAATGCTTTTACATTAATTTTCACCTCCTCTTTCGATTGGTGAAGTCAAAAATTGCAAAATCCAAAAATTCAAATTATTCCAAAAGGGTATGGTATGGATTTAGAGAAATTTGAAGGAAACGGAAATTCAAGAGCCAGGAATAGACATTAAATGATATGGGGAAATGAAATAGAAATTCAGAAATGGAAACAGAAAATTGAGAAGAAACTGGTTGACAAGTAGGAGTATCAGTATTTTCTCTATTCCAGGCCTCTGGATTAGGTATTAGAATAGTTTAGTGGAGATAAGGAAAAATTGCCTGACTTCAGAGAAATCTAAAGACGAAGTAAATGAGAAAGAAAATTCAATGAAAACATTGAGAGATGAAAAGAGAATTAAAGCACATTCTTATTTGGCCACCCTATACAAAACCAAAAACCGCATACAAAATTATATCTGAAAGGCACAGTGGTTCGTTTCCGTTGCCTGGATTCCTGAGCCAAAACTTTGCTCGCCGCCATTTGTTCTCTATCCGGAGTCAAATCTCTAGTGTTCCTCAGACGCCGCCACGTTTTGATATCCCTAGTTTCCGGTTGTAGAACGGCGTCGACTTTCTCGGCGAACACTTCGGTCGATTGGTTGTAGGTGGAACCCAGTACCAAGTCCAGATCATCTTTTGGAACCAGATTGCTATAAACGATAAATTGAAGATGTAATTTTCATAATAAAGTAACAAAATTCAAAAAATTCTTACTCGAAAGGCTTAAAATGCACGTAACGTCTGGCGCTGGCTAAAGTTTGGTGCATGTACATTCTTTGAGACGGCGATTTCGCCGAATCGTAGCACGAGTCCTTGCGACATTCGACTATGGCGATCGGTTTCGTGAATTCGCCCTCCTCGTCCAGGAAAGGGATGCATCCCATATTCCTGACGCGACCTAAAACCGTTTTCCGTTTTTATAGGACATAATGCAATATAGGAATGAGCTCGGATTTCTACTTTAGAGTTATATTTCATACCAAAATTGATAGAGAATATACATATAGCTAAGTGGTTTTAGTAATACCCCGTGTTTTTATTCTCATCAAATTTTATCGATGGATCCATCCTTCTATGTCGGTCATTGTCATTTTCCATTCATTAAACAAAAATAGCTAACTCACCGATTAGAATAAAAACAAGGGGGTAGGTATTGCGTTACTTAGGCAGCCCCCCACTACTTCATTTCTAAGCCCCTCCCAGCTAATGATGTTACGCCAACTATCCTCCATTATTTGTATTCATTATCTCTCACTCCACATTATTAAGGAAAATAAATTAAATTTTCCTTGTAAAAGTCTATATTTTTGCATAAATGGATTTTCTTAAGGACATTCTAAGATGCCAGGAGAACGCGTGACCTTGAAAACTTTAAAAATTTCCGCCTACGGCGCTATTAGGAAAGGGCAACTTATAAATCTCCCACTGGGTAGGCCGATATAAGAACTCCAAATTTTCGAATGCATTTTAGGTCATATGAAAGTAAGTACTTTTCCGCACTACAGTAGGTACCGCATTTTTTATAATAATATTTACTTTCCTGTCTTTACTCGTACGGAAAGTCTCTTTTCCCTACCAACTGCAATCGCGTGCGGAAAATTGGCACTTTCCGCACTAAAACATAACTGAAATAAAGATCCATATCCGTTTTGGGTTTCATGTTTTTCCTGACAGATGACAGTCGTATATCGGTTCTGCTGTTAGAGGTATGATTGGCATTTTCCAAATTTTTAGTGCAAAATAAGTTGTTTTTGTATAATTTTTCATAGAAAATAACTTCACGTTTTAAAAACAATCAAAGTAGGCTTTCTGGGCGGCCATTTTAGGGTTGGGCAATCCAATTCCTATGGCGGCCAAGGTCAAACAATGAAGGATTTCATTTACCTTCAGACGACCGTCACGTTTTGTTGACATAAAACTGATCTATTGTTTGAGAAGGATAATTTTTGTAGTTTCGTTGTGTATAAACATCTTTGAATATAAAACTACAGGAAGGAGCATAAATTCGAATCTGTGCGACCAAAATATGTGGAGGTTGCATATGGCCGACTAGGGTTTCCGGTTTGGCAGTCGCGTATATTTATTTAAATATGATTGTCAATATTATGAATCACTCTTTTCGCACTAATTCCGTTGCTTATTATCACTTAAAACCGCTAAAATCCATTAAACATCCACTTGAATGAGGACTCAGCGAACCACCAAAACAAATGATGAGTCCATACTTGGACGCTCAAAATGGCCGTTTCCGTCCCTGCGTTGTCTGTAGTGACAGATAGAAAACGCTCCTTCCTGTAGTTTTATATTCAAAGATAAACATAAACACAAAAGACAAAGACATCATAGATGTTTGACCGTTGCCGCCATATTAAATTTGGGTTTAGACAAGTCGTTGGATTGCCCTATTGCATTTTGGTAGTTTTATACGAAAAATAACGTGTTTTTATGGTGCAAGGAATTGAATTTTTGGTAATTTTCGAAAAAAATTTGATTTTTCATCAAGAAAAATGAAAATTTTCCGTTAGCTAACTTCATTTTTCGAAAACATCAAAGTAGGATTTAGGATTTGGACGGCCATTTAAAAATGGAACCATCCAACCAAGGATAATACACACTACTACTACCACTACTACAAAATAGTCTATCCTCATAAACTGAAACCCACCACCATGTCAAATCACCAGTTGTGACGTAGTAGCATGTTCTTTTTCGCATTGACGTAGGCTATTTGCACGACAGGTTTTTGTTTTATGCATACTTAGTTTTACTACATTAATTAACATTCTAAAACAACTCTTTTTTTTAGATCTCGTTGTCATCTTCCTCTTTGTCTATAATGTTAATCAAAATTAAATAATATTTTTCATTAAAAATTTAAATTCTAAACTAGGACTTCTAGTGCAAACAACTGACAACTTGTTAATGACGTCGGAAATGGTGACATACCAATATGGCGGCGATTACCAAAAACGAGGCCGATAAGCCAAGGTTGTTTGAGAGAAGTAAGTTGCCTGATAACTTTATGACGTCATCTGGGGTGCCTCAACATAATGCAAATCTTCATAAGACATCCCAGATGCGTCATCAAGTTACCCATTACCAGGCAACCTATTAACTTTAGGAACCTTGCAATAAGCAATCCTTTAGTAGTGTGTATTATCCCTGAAATCCAAAGACCTGTCAAAGCATACATTTCATATGGCGGCAACGGTCAAACATCTATGATATGTGTGTTTGTTGTTTTTGTTTATACATTACGAAAATACGTAAATTATCCTTTACGAGCAATAGAAATTATAGAAAATCCTCTCAAAAATCCACAGAGAACAGTTTTAAGATAACACGGTTGTCTGAAGGTAAACGATATTTTTGCTAGTGGCGGATCCACGGGGAGGGTAAAGGGGGTAATTACCCCCCCCCCCCCCCGCTCCCAGAGAGGCCCAAGAAAATTTTAATTATTAAAAAAACACACAAGTCCCCGTACTCGACCCTCGACCGGCATTTGGCAGACCACAAAAGTTGTTAAACTCACGTGAAAAATGTTTTTTTTGAGGTTAAAAATGCGTTTTGGGCGTGGCAAAATTTCGGCCTCTGGTGGGGCTTTCCCCGCTGGGTCCACTGGGTCCAGTCACTGTACTGAGTCCTACTTTATACGTGTACCCCTTCAAGTATAGACCACGAGTCGCCAATGGTTGGAAAGCTCTACCCCCCCCCCCCCCCCCCCCACCCCAGAATGGTGCTATAGATCCGCCACTGATAACGGCCACAATGGGTTTTGATATTTCTATACGTTCATTGCTATCCATAAACACAAATTGCAGATGTTTCACCGTTGCCGCCATATTGAATAGATGATTTGACAGGTCCTTGGATTACCCTATTGCGTTTTGATAGTTTTATACGAAAAAGAACGTTTATTGGCTTAAGGCGCGAAGGATTAATTGAATTTTTAAGGAAAATCTAATTTTTCATCAAGCAAAGTGAAAATTATTCATTAGCTAACTTCACACGTTTCAAAAACATCAAAGCAGGCCTTGGGCGGCCATTTTAAAATTGTGTTTTTTTGACCGTCATTGGTTTTTCTCAGATATTATCCGATTTTCAATAGATTTCAGTGTGGAAAATGTTTCTTGTGACACGAGAAATTGGATTTTCCATAATCGGCACATTACAATTCAAATAAAATGCCATTTTCCAAAGAAAATATTCCCAAGGTAAGTGAAACTGTCATATTAGCTACAGTGGCATCAATTGCCAGCCTATTTTTGAAATCCTATGAAAATTGGCAAGAGTATGGGGCGGGGGCCGTGTTTTATATTCACCAAAGAAATATTAAAAATTAGCAAAAATATGGCGACAAAACCTCTATTGTCGCTACTGTATTGAGTCCCTATATAATATCAGCTAACTTCACCTTTCGAAATAAACATCAAAGTAGGCGTTGGGCGGCCATTTTAAAATTGTGTTTTTCAACAAAAATGGCCGTATAGTAGTATTTTGCTTTGGTTTTTCTCAAATATATTTCTCGATTTCAATGCGGAAAATGAGTTTTGTAGTGCAAGGTGTTCAATTTTCCATAATTGGCACGGTAATTTCCATATAAAATGCCATTTTTCTCAGCAAAAATCACTATGGTGAGTCGATTTCTCGAAATCAATTTTTGTCTATTCCTGGCTCTCGAATTTGTCTCAATAAAGAAAATTCAAGAGCCTGGAATATAAAAAATATGAATATTTACATTTTTCCATCTCAATTTTTGTTTAAATGCATCCTACCATCGTGCTTAATTGGGGTGCGAAGAATTGAATTTATAAAGAAAATCTAAGTTTTCATCAAGCAAAGTGAAAATGATTCATTAACTAACTTCACGTTTCAAAAACATCAAAGCAGGCCTTGGGCGGCCATTTTAAAATTGTGTTTTTTGACCGTCATTGGTTTTTCTCGAATATTTTCTGATTTTCAATAGATTTTAGTGCGGAAAATGTTTCTTGTGATACGAGGAATTGGATTTTCCATAATCGGCACGTTAATATTCAAATAAAATGCCATTTTTCATAGAAAATATTCCCATGGTAAGTGGAAACTGTCACATTAGCTACAGTGGCGTCAATTGCCGTCCTATTTTTGAAGTCCTATAATGTTCATATTGAAAATTGGCAAGAGTATGGCGGCGAAGGCCTGGCTCACTACTAATTCACCAATGAAATATTCAAAATTAGCAAAAATATGGCAACAAAACCTCTATTGTCGCCACTGTAAAGGTGTATTTGTATTTACAGTGGCTAAATAAACCTTTACATAGTGGCGACAATAGAGGTCCCACCGCCATTTTGTGCCCAACCTTTTACTACTTTTAAATATGGATATATAGGATTTAAATGGACATCTATCATCAAAAGCGTGAAAAAAACGTATTTGATGTGCGTTGTTTTCAATTTTTTATGATCGATGTCTATTTTAATCCTATATATTCATATTTAAATGTAGCAAGAGGTTGGACACAAAATGGCGACGTTTTCCATATAAATATATAGGATTTTAAAGAACCAATAATAAAGAAGACGGCAATTGTCGCCACTGTGGTAATAGAGTCACTGTAGGTGTATTAGGCAATCCAAACCACGTGACTTTCAAGATGGCGTGGCAGCCACACATGGACCAAAAAACACACAAAAAATATCTAGTTTCTGCCCGACATGATAGTTTACGTACCTACTAAACAAATATTTTATTAAATAATCAAAATCAAAGTTGCAAGCAAAACTCGAAGAAAAAAAATTAAAATAAGCCTAAAAATACATATTAAAAACAAAGTTTCTTGGCCGCCATGCCATATTGAATTTTGTGCCTGACAGATGGATTGGATTGCTTAATTGAGTCCCTCTGTTATATCAGCTAACTTCACTTTTCGGAATAAACATCAAAGTAGGCCTTGGGCGGCCATTTTAAAATTGTGTTTTTCAACAAAAATGGCCGTAGTAGTAATTTTTTCTCTGGTTTTTCTCGATTTCAGTGCGGAAAAGTGTTTTGAAATGAGTTTTGTAGTGCGAGGTGTCCAATTTTCCATAATTGGCACGTTGATTTTCAAATAAAATGTCATTTTTCTTAGCAAAAATCACCATGATGAGTCGATTTCTCGAAATCATTTTTTGTCTATTCCGGGCTCTCGAATTTGTCTCAATAAAGTAAATTCAAGAGCCTGGAATAGAAACAATATGAATATTCACATTTTTCCATCTCAATATTTGTTTAATTCATCCTACAATCGTGCTTTCTCTTTCTCACTCATTCAAATTGAATTCGCTTTTTTAATGGTGGCAATAGTTAGCAAAAATTATAGATTTCCCACTGGGTCCTTGGGTGGGCCGATATAACTACTCCAACTTGGGCCGATAATAGACGATAGATGGTGCAAACACCTAACGTCATTGGCTGGGAGGGGCTACAAAAAAGTAGTGGGGGCTAGCCTGAGCAACTCAATGCCTACTATAAGAAAAGTAATATTTTATATATTTCAAACTTCTAAATTTGCTAATGAGTAATCGAAATTTTGATTATTATCAGCCTCAGAGTTATCAGCTCTTGACCTTTGAATATCCTTAGAAAAATCCTCTAGCGAATCCAGAGTTGATAAAAGTTCAAATTTTGACTATTACCGGCTCTTGATTGGCTCTAGGAAGGTTTTCCAGAAAATCAAGAGCCGGTAATAGTTCAAATTTTGATCATCTGTGGCTCTTGATCCAGTGGCCCCTAAAGCATCGCTTATATCTGCTTATGCATATCCCGCCACCGGTTTGACTCAACTAAAAAGTAGTTTTCGAGCCAGAATTTGACGACAGAACCTCGAAATCTAAGCTGAAACTGAACTAAAATAATAAATTATGATTGTTGTCCATTTTAGAGTTGAAGTTGAGACACGACAGACAACAAGGAAGATGAGAATTCCTAAAAACTCGTAAAGACTTGATGAAATGCTCCACAGATTTTAAAGATAAGAAAGATTCTGAAGCTCTAAAGAATTTACTTATAACTCAAATCATTTTGAGACTTTATAAAAGGACTTGGCGCCCAACGTGGGGCCAATTTGTTAAAAATAAATTGGAATTTGTTACTTTAGACAAGATAAAAATATAATATTGATTCTAATCTTTAAAGTCAGTTTTTCTATGACAAACTCTAATATTCTATTGCCTCAAAATAGTTTCAAGCTCATTCCTACTTATTCAAAAAAGAGAAGCTTTACTTACCTACTGCAGCCATAGTTCAAGACTTTAATTAACTTTTGCGGTTCCCAATATCGCGTGTCACTTCTAAACAGATAATAAATGGCTGTAAAACATGCCTCTGCTTGTTTTTTGCGAGTTTGCGTTTGCTTTCCAGGGTTTTATATAAATCGACTAAATTTCTTCCCTAAATACTTTTTATTTTGGACTATTCAGCCCTCAGACATCTGAAGGTTGTCTCCGAAACGAATTTATTGACATTGTCATTTAAATAGATATTCTGTTGTTAATATTTTATATGCCAGAAAGATTAAGTGTGGATGGGAAATAGTAATAAATCAATGATTTATTGTAAATATCCATGCAAGATGATATACATCCATTCATGAAATTATCTAAATAGAAATAAAACCAAGAAATGTTCCCACAATGAAAAACTACCTATATTTCAAAAAATATAACAACGTATAAACAAACACCTCGTGCAATATCACAATAAATTATTATTAATTTAAAACAAACTTTAATTAAAAGTCCTATGGAATGAATCAGTACAAAAATTTCAATAATACTTTATACATAATTATTTCAAAAATTCTTTTTACAATAATTTACTACCTATTCGAAATCGCACAAACGTTATCTCGCCCTTTTGGACCTGGTCAACTTCCAAGCTTTTTCGCCTAAGCTTTGAATGTGCTTTATCCTCTTAGCACCCCACAACAGCCACAAAAATCCTACAACCGTACAAATAACAGTCTCAACATAATACCCATCTAGTTGTGTCACACATTTTCCACCATTTTTAATACAAATCTACAAATAAAATCATTAAGAATTGTTTTAATAAATTAACAAAACTGTTTACTTCTTTTTCTGTTGTATTGTCACAAGAATTTCCTAAATTATTTTCGCCTCCCTGGCACTCTTTCCAAGTTAGAGGGTCCACAAAATAAAGGGCCAATATAGAGGGCCAATTGCCGCCCAAATTTGTTACAGTATTGAGTAAAGTCATGTAGGTACCTCCAACTGAAGAGTCGCTTATTTTTGCAAAAAATGCCATTATCGATACAAACATTGTATATACACAAACCTATAATATTCTTGGCATTATAATAATGATGATATTTAAAAAATTCTTACCTGATGTAAGGCATAACAGCTAATAAGCAATACAACGTAGGATATTGGTAAGCCATTTGAAGCATCAGGCACAAGTAATGGAGTGATCCAGACTAAACATGCAGCTATAATTCCGAAAACTAATCGGTAAGGAATTGCCTTGACAAAAGCGTCTAATGGTTTAGGGCCTGTAGTGTATTTGGCAATAACTATTGGCAGAATTAGTTGTACTGGAATTAGGGGGATTGCCATTAGGCCGAGTTTTTCTTTGGGGATGCCTGCTTCAACCAGTTTCAGGGACATAACACTATCTGTCGAAGAGAAACCAACCTGAAATACTTTATTTTAGTAGGTTTATTTTGTTGTTTTTCTAGTTATATGACAACAGGATTTTGTTAAGGGTTAAGGTTTTGGATTTATATTTGCATATCTTCAAATCTGAATATCTCGTTAACCAGAAGGGTTACTAGGACAACATTTTCAGGGTTTGTAGCTCTTGATAAAGGCTTTCAGATGGTGTTTAGCTGAAGTGGCTAGCGTTTATAGTTTTTGAGAAAATTGAGTTTGAAGTTTTGAACAAAATTTTGACTAAAGTCCAAGTTTGAAGGTTTGTAGCTCAGGAACCCCTTGAGGTACTGGAACCAATTTAGCACAGATTTGAAGAGAATTTAATGCTCTTTCTAATGATACATGGCTAATTTGCTCAAATGTCATCAAAGATATGGGCAATTATTCATGAGCGTGTCAAGATTTTAAAAAATGTCCAGAGTCAAAAATGAGATTTCCTTTTGGATTTTTTTTTCTTGTCGAAATTTTTAAATCTAACTGATGTTAGAGTTGTTTCTGACTAATTTGAACTCGCTTTATCGATTTCTGAAGTCAGAATTGAGAAAAACTCAAAAATAAAAATTTTGAATTTTTTGCACTTTTTCCTAAGGTTATCCCTTTGGATTTTTATTTACAAATCTTCAAACCTCAATATCTCGGTAACCAGAAGGGGTACTAGGACAACATTTTCAGGGCTTGTAACTCTTGATAAGGGCTTTCAAATGGTATTTAGCTGAAGTCGCTAGCGTTTATAGTTTTTGAGAAAATTGAGTTTGAAGTTTTGAACAAAATTTTGACTAAAGTCCAAGTTTGAAGGTTTGTAGCTCAGGAACCCCTTGAGGTACTGGAACCAATTTAGCACAGTTTTGAAGAGAATTTAATGCTCTTTCCAATGATACATGATTGTAGCTAATTTTCTTACTGTTTGAGAAAATGTTGAAAATTTACTTTAAAAACACAAATTAAGAAAAACGGTGTGTTTGGTGGGCTGACATTTTGATGATTTTTAAAAAATCTGTTGATGGGAAAAGTTCAAAATTTTTGGAGTGAAAAGAGAAAGGGAGCACGCTCATTTTACTAAAATTTCAAATAGATTCAGTGAAAAATCCCAGTTTGAGAAAATGTTGAAAATTTTCTTTAAAAACACAAATTAAGAAAAACACACCCTCTGACATTTTGATGATTTTTAAAAAATCTGTTGATGGGAAAAAATCAAAATTTTTAGAGTAAAAAGAGGAAGCGAACACGCTCATTTTACTAAAATTCCAAATAGATTCAGTGAAAAATACCAGTTTGAGAAAATCTTGAAAATTTACTTTAAAAACACAAATTAAGGAAAACACACCCTTTGACATTTTGATGATTTTTAGAAAAACTGTTGATGGGAAAAGTTGAAAATTTTTGGAGTAGAAAGAGGAAAGCAAAACGCTCATTTTACTGAAATTTCAAATAGATTCAGTGAAAAATTCCAGTTTGAGAAAATCTTAAAAAATAACTTTAAAAACACAAATTACTTAAAGAAAACACAGCCTTTCACATTTTCATGATTTTTCAAATAACTCTTAATGGAATAATTTTGAAAACTTTGGAGTAAAGAGAGGAAGAAAAGGAACTTATCATACTGAAATTTCAAATTGAAAAAATAAAGATTGAAATAATTCCAATTTTTAAATATTTAGCCTGCTTTCTTTCAAATGTAATGCGGTAATCTCGAGGGTAATCTACACTCATCAAAAAAGTCTAGGGAACAAGAAATATTCGTCTTTTAATTTTTAGACAGAATAACTTTTTTTAAAAAGATACCATATGGGTATTTGTTGAACAAATCTTGTGAAAGGACCCCGCACACCTCTTATGGGATTTGGGACTTCCGCCAAATTCAACCAAATTCTAGTATGATATAAATTTGACCTTTTTGATTAATACTTAGCATTGGCTCAACTTGATCCTATGACTAGTTTTTAAGATACAGGTAATTTAATGTTCAAAAAATGTACTCATTTTATATGCATTTTCATCTACCTGTCGCCTAATAATATACCAGGATGGATAGGTATCCTCACGCTCAGGTGACAGGTTGATGTAAATGCATATAAAATGAGTACGTTTCTTGAACATTGAACTACCTGTATCTCAAAAACTAGTCATAGGATTAAGTTGTGCCCATGGTAGCTATTGATCAGAAAGGTGTAACCTATTGCATACTAAAATTTGGTTAAATTTGGCGGAAGTCCCAAATTCCATAAGAGGTGTGCAACAGTATATTTTGTTCAATTTATAAATGTATTCAGTTGCATCTTGTTCCCTAGACTATTTTGATATGTGTATTTGGGAAAAATTAAGGGAAAAAATGTATAGCTTACTTTTTTTGAATGAAAGTTCCTTCAGAAAGAGTCTATACTATTTTCATTATAGTTCAAACGCATCAACAAGATCATAAAAAAACAGGGCCCAGATTCCGAACTCATGATTCGATAGTATCGTAATCTAAGGTATTGTCGATCTATTTCATATGGACGATAATATCGAATCTTTGGTTCGGAATCCAGGCCCAGGAGAAACCAGTGCGCAACACATCGGATGCACCCTAGGACAAGTCGTTCCCAGTATTCTAAGGTTACCCCGAGGGTTACCCCCTTTGGATTTTTATTTGCAAATCTTCAAACCTCAATATCTTGGTAACCAGAAGGGGTACTAGGACAATATTTTCAGGGTTTGTAGCTCTGGATAAGGGCTTTCAGATGGTATTTAGCTGAAGTGGCTAGCGTTTATAGTTTTTGAGAAAATTGAGTTTGAAGTTTTGGACAAAATTTTGACTAAAGTCTAACTTTGAAGGTTGGTAGCTTAGGAACCCCTTGAGCTACTGGGACCAATTTAGCACAGTTTTGAAGAGAATTTAATGCTCTTTCCAATGATACATGATTGTAGCTAATTTACTTGAATGTCAACGAAGATATGGGCAATTATTCATGAGTGTGTCAAGATTTTAAAAAATGTCCAGAGTCAAAAATAAGATTTCCTTTTGGATTTTTTTTTTCTTGTCGAAATTTTCAAATCTAACTGATGTAAGAGTTGTTTCTGACTAATTTGAACTCGCTCTATCGATTTCTGAAGTCAGAATTGAGAAAAACTCAAAAATAAAAATTTTCAATTTTTTGCACTTTTTCCTAAGGTTACCCCTTTGGATTTTTATTTGCAAATCTTCAAACCTCAATATCTTGGTAACCAGAAGGGGTACTAGGACAACATTTTCAGGGTTTTTAGCTCTTGAGGAGGGCTTACAGATGGTGTTTAACTCAAGTGGCTAGCGTTTATAGTTTTTGAGAAAATTGAGTTTGAAGTTTTGGACAAAATTTTGACTAAAGTCCAAGTTTGAAGGTTTGTAGCTCAGGAACCCCTTGAACAACTGGAACCAATTTAGCACAGTTTTGAAGAGAATTTAATGCTCTTTCCAATGATACATGATTGTAGCTAATTTACTTAAATGTCATCGAAGAAATGAGCAATTATTCATGAAAGTGTCAAGATTTTAAAAAATGTCCAGAGTCAAAAATAAGATTTCCTTTTGGATTTTTTTTCTCGTCGAAATTTTCAAATCTAACTGATGTAAGAGTTGTTTCTGACTAATTTGAACTCGCTCTATCGATTTCTGAAGTTAGAATTGGGAAAAACTCAAAAATAAAAATTTTCAATTTTTTGGACTTTTTCCTAAGGTTACCCCTTAGGATTTTTATTTACAAATCTTCAAACCTCAATATCTCGGTAACCAGAAGAGTTACTAGGACAACGTTTTCAGGGTTTTTAGCTCTTGATAAGGGCTTTCAGATGGTATTTAGCTGAAACCGCTAGCGTTTATAGTTTCCAAGAAAATTGAGTTTGAAGTTTTGGACAAAATTTTGACTAAAGTCCAACTTTGAAGGTTTGTAGCTCAGGAACCCCTTGAGCTACTGGAACCAATCTGGCACAGTTTTGAAGAAAATTTAATACTCTTTCCAAGGATACATGGTTGTAGCTAATTTACTTCAATGTCAACGAAGATATGAGCAATTATTCATGAGCATGTCAAGATTTTAAAAAATGTCCAGAGTTAAAAATGAGATTTCCTTTTGGATTTTTTTTTCTTATCGAAATTTTTGAATCTAACTGACTGACCCGCTTTATCGATTTCTGAAGTCAGAATTGAGAAAACTCAAAAATAAAAATTTTCAATTTTTTGCACTTTTTCCTAAGGTAAATTACTCTCCCTTTGGATTTTTATTTGCAAATCTTCAAACCTCAATATCTGGGTAACCAGAAGGGGTGCTGGGACAACATTTTCAGGGTTTGTAGCTCTTGATAAAAGGTTTCAGATGGTATTTAGCTGAAGTCGCTAGCTACCTATAGTTTTTAAGAAAATTGACTTTGAAGTTTTGGACAAAATTTTGACTAAAGTCCAAGTTTGAAGGTTTGTAGCTCAGGAACCCCGTGAGGTACTGGAACCAATTTAACACAGATTTGAAAAGAATTTGATATTCTTTCCAATGATACATAATTAATTGTAGCTAATTTGCTTAAATGTCATCAAAGATATGGGCAATTATCCTGAGCGTGTCAAGATTTTAAAAAATGTCCAGAGTCAAAAATTAGATTTCCTTTTGGATTTTTTTGTGTCATGGAAATGTTCAAATCTACTTGATGTTAGAGCTGTTTCTGACAAGTTTTGACTCGCTCTATCGAATCAAAAAATCAAAATATGGTCTGTCACACAGAAGCTCAATTTTTGATGATTTTGTTGAGGTGAAAGTAGCTTCAAGAAAACTGTAAAAAATCCTCAAAATCCCATATGAAAAATACTTTCAGTCTTTACAGATGAAATAGAGAAAGAATAAGAAAAATTTAATTATGAAATTGTGGAGGAATTAGGTACAGATGACATAGTTAAAATATAATAGTATTTACAAAGTCAGTTGAAACAAAGTAAGGGTAAATTACAACTGGTGACTGAATATTTTCATAAGAAATGCACTGCCACTAGTCAGCCACCAGTTGCAAATTACCTTTACCTTGTTTCAAGTGACTTTGTAAATACTATAATAGCAAATTCATTTTTATTTATTCCAATCCCACTACTTACTTTGCAAGTCAACAACACCAAAACCAAACTTTGTATTGCAGGCAGCTTCAAAATGCTCTTCAAAGACCCATAAGCTGTCTTAATATCTCTTTCTATTACAACTTCGTGTTCTGGATCGTGAGGCTCAATCTCCTTCTTAACCAAACCCACAACAGTAGTACTAATAACAAAAACAACCCCCCAAAAGAACAGAAAGCTTGGCAAGGTGACTATGCCCACATCTTGGGGCACGCTTCGCAAATAACTATTGCAAAAACTTGGAGATTCCAAAGCCATAAAAACCACATAGCTCAAAAAAAAACCAGCAGATTGCCCGACACTGTTGCAAGTTGAAGCATGGCCTACATTGCATTTTTTCAACATTGTCAAAGCCCAACCATCCACTGCAATGTCTTGAGTAGCTGCCAAAAAATTCAAAGAAAAAAACAACAGAGTCAATATTCCAATATTTGGAGACATATTAGCGTCGCCTAGCCACAATTCAACATGCCCAGAGAGAATTAACATAAAAATCCCTATGAGGTATTGTGTGGGTATTAGCCAAGTTTTCCGGCGTCCCATTTGTGTAGAATAGATACAGTCCACTAATGGGGCCCATAGCAGTTTCAAGCTAAAGGGCCAAGTAACGAAACTAAATTCTGCCTAAAAATAATTAACACATTTATTAATTAATTAATAAAATACAAGTTAATTTACCTGTTGCTTATAGCTGACGCCTCGATTTTGTAAAATCATCGGAATAGCCGAGCTCAAACCCAAAGGAATCCCTTGTAGAGTGTACAGGAAAAGCAACAGCAAAATATTCCAGCCATCCCCTTTGATGTCACTTTTTAAATGTAAAGTGGAGCTCGCCTGACCGTTTTCTAGTAGCAGGGCCGTGTCGGAACGGTATTTTTGCTTTTTCCGTTCCATATTTAGGCCCCAAAGTTTAATTTTAAGGTTAGTTTATGTAGGGGCCACGTCAGTGAATTTTAACGGGGCTGATTGAATGGGACGACACTTGAAAATGGAACCTTGAGGATTGTAGTTTCGATTTAGATTGTGTACTATTGTAGTTCATTTGTAAATCATAGGTTTTTTTTGACAAAAATTGAAATTTTGCTGCAATAATTTGTTTTGTTTACATTTGTTCAAATTGACACTGAGTGACATTTAGTTGACATCTCTGCCCAATTCATTTAACAACTCTAATTTTTTTGTTTCTTTTTAATTGAGTGGAATAGAAAGAGAAAAGGCCACATTTGTTTTGACATTTGGCTCATAACAAAAAAAAATTGTGTATAATTTTGATTATTTTGTTGTAGAGGCATTTAAATTTAAAATGTTCATTAACTATTTGCTATAATTTTAATATTAAGTCCTAAATGAGCTCAATAATTAATGAAAATTATGTCTTTGCCCTATAAAAACCTAATTTAGTGATTGCTATGAGACAAATAAGAATGTATAAATGGTAAGCAAACTTGAATTACAAATCTACTCCTTTCATGGAGCCCCATTTCCAGGCAAGCATTGAACAAACAATGCATCCTGACATTACTATCAGGCCTAGCCATAGGCTTCACAGTAGCATATGTAGCCTTAAGCCAACAAATAGCTTTCGGCGACCCGCACACCAGCTACGAAATGGAATTTCTCGAGGGGCCCACCGTAGATCCAGGGGCGCACTCGAAAAACGAAGAGTTTCATTTGCTGGAAGACACAACTGCAGCGGACAAGCTTTACAAAGATGTTAGGGTGCTGTGCTGGGTCATGACGGGCCCTAATAATCATGAAAAAAAGGCCAAGCATGTGAAGAATACTTGGGGCAAGCGGTGCAACGTTTTGTTGTTTATGAGTTCGAAAGAAGGTATGTTGGAGCGTGGGTGGGTGATTCAAGTTATTTTTATTTGTTTGCTTCCTGTCTGTTCCAGATAGTATACTGTTTTAAAGATATGAATATTGAAAAATATACTTACAACCTAGTTGAAAAATTAGCAGCTGGAATAATAATTTAGCTGATTTGCATAGTGTTTGACCTTTTAAATTATTCAAACATTGTGTGTATGAAATGATTTCATTATTGTCTTGCTTTGGTTCAGGCTTATCTATAGGAGTTTTTTGCTTTATTAATCGAGTTATTAATTAATGCTCAAGTCCATAAATTTGCCACTTGTTTGATTGTAGCTTACTTAATTATTGGCTTAATTATCATTTCAAAATTTTTCCTCAGAAAATTTCCAATAAAAACATCGAATCCACACTTATCTAAACAATAATTAAACCACTCTTTTTTCCAACAAATCCTGAGAAAATTTTTCCTAAATTATTTATCACAGTTTCTATAAGTAGGTACATAATTATAATTATAATTATTAAATTTTAAATATTCAATCAAATTGTTCCTTAAGTAATGTGGAATGTTCTGAGTAAAAGAACCAAATCCAGGATTAGGTACTTAAATCAACACAAATTGAAATTTCTTTCAAAAAAAAAAAAATCACAATTTTTGCATTTGAAGCTACAAAAATTTGATTTTTTCATATGTTTCAGTGTTTCAAATCTTACTTTTAATCCAAATTTTAATTATAATCGGCTCTTGAGGCCTTGGATACTAAATAATTCAAAATTTAATATGTTATTATTACTGGCTCTTGATTTGGTAAAAATATTTCCCAGTGTTTCATATTTCTTTTCCTTATTCCCTTAAATATTATGGTAGGACTTTTGTATGAATGGTTATTTGCTTGGTTATTTGTGTTAGTGGAAATATCCTCGGAAATATCCATCAAAAATCCATCAAAAAACCAAAGTGAAAAGAATTGTTTGCCAACCCTGATTTTGAAGCCTATGATTTTTTTGTATGTGTAGCCCTTGATGTAGCCTGTAAGTAATCCTCCTTATTCTTTCTCCTCTAAAAATTCCACCTTTGCTATTTTTTCAGGAAAAAATTAAAGTATAAAAGGTGAATTTTCCTTAATTTAGCTTTAAAAGGGTAATTTTCAAGAATTTTCCATGAAGCTATTTTTCAATAGAAAAATTTGAAACTTTTGTATAATGAGATCCACACTTTCCTCTATCTTCTCTAAAAGTTTCACAATTTTCCCTTTGCTAGTTTTTCAGAAAAAAAATTAAAATGTGAAACTCCTCAAAATTTCATATTTCTGCCATTTGTAGTTTTTGAGTAAATAATTGGGATATCATGGCTTGTTGAAATTTTATTTTATTAAATAAGTGCATTTTTCTCTCGATTTTTCTAGATTATTTATAACTTTGTTGTTTGCAGCTCAATTGCTTTTAGATTTTGGTATGTTTTACTTCAAAGCTTCAAAAGTAACTCCTTAAAATTTCATATTTCTGCCATTTGTAGTTTTGGAGTCAATAATTAGGATATCATGGCTTGTTGAAATTTCATTTCATTAAATAAGTGCATTTTTCTCTCGATTTTTCTAGATTATTTATAACTTTGTTGTTTGCAGCTCAATTGCTTTTAGATTTTGGTATGTTTTACTTCAAAGCTTCAAAAGTAACTCCTTAAAATTTCATATTTCTGCCATTTGTAGTTTTGGAGTCAATAATTAGGATATCATGGCTTGTTGAAATTTCATTTCATTAAATAAATGCATTTTTCTATATTATTTATAACTTTGTTGTTTGCAGCTCAATTGCTTTTAAATTTTGGTATGTTTTACTTCAAAGCTTCAAAAATAACTCCTCAAAATTTCATATTTCTGCCATTTGTAGTTTTTGAGTAAATAATTGGGATATCATGGCTTGTTAAAGTTTTATTTCACTAAATCAGTGCATTTTTCTAGATTATTCATAACTTTGTTGTTTGCAGCTCAATTTCTTTTAAATTTTAAAATGTTTTACTTCAAAGCTTCAAAAATAACTCCTCAAAATTTCATATTTCTGCCATTTGTAGTTTTGGAGTAAATGATTACGATATGAAGGCTTGTCAAACATGATAAAATGGTAAAATTAATAATTTATTGTGGGATTTGAAGTCCAAATCTTTAAAAAAAGGACTTCAGGAAAATTGAAAAATCCAAAAATTCACCCCAAATTCCTTAGCACTATTTTTTCTCAGGACCTATAAGTCCATACAAGGGGTAAACCACCATCCCAGAATTAGTGCAAACAATTCCTCAAAGGGGCAAATTTTTTACGCATAATTCCTCAAAATTCCTGCAAATTCCTCCAGATACTCTATCACAAATTCCTCCAAATACCATACCACGAACTTCTCCAAATACCCCACAAATTCCTCTAAAAAAAAGGAAAATTTTGAAACTTTTTGCATGTAGAAAGGAAGGTGAGAAGATCATTTTCCCAAAATTTCAAATTTTTCCAGTGGAACACAGCAACACGAAAAATCTTGGAAATCAACCTACACAAACTGAATTAGTTGAAAATACAGTCTCCCACATTTCAAAGTTTTCCTGGAAAACTAGTGAAAGGAAAATTTTGAAACTTTTTGCATGTAAAGAGGAAGGTAAGAACATCATTTTCCCAAAATTTCAAATTTTTCCAGTAGAAAACAGCAACATGAAAAATCTTGGAAATCCACCTACAACAAACACTGAATTAGTTGAAAATACAGTCTCACACATTTCAATGTTTTCCTGGAAGACTAGTAAAGGGAAAATTTTGAAATTTTTTGTATGTAAAAAAGAAGATGAGAAGCTCATTTTCCCAAAATTTCAAATTTTTCCAGTAGAAAACAGCAACATGAAAAATTTTGCAAATCAACCTACAAAAACTGATTTAGTGGAAAATACAGTCTCACGTATTTCAAAATTTTCCTAGAAAACTAGTAGAGAGAGAAATTTGAAACTTTTTGCATGTAAAGAGAAAGGTTAGAACTCGGGTTAGAAACTCATTTTCCCAGAATTTCAAATTTCTCCAGTAAAAAATTACAACATGAGGAATCTTGGAAATCAACCTACAATAACTGAGTTACTTGAAAATACAGTCTCGCATATTTCAAAATTTTCCTGGAAAACTAGAAAAGGGGAAATTTTGAAACTTTTTGCATGTAAAGAAGAAGGTGAGAAGCTCATTTTCCCAAAATTTCAAATTTTTCCAGTGGAAAACAGCAACATGAAAAATCTTGGAAATCAACCTACACAAACTGAATTAGTTGAAAATACAGTCTCATATATGTCAAAGTTTTCCTGAAAAACTAGTGAAGGGAAAATTTTGAAACTTTTTGCATGTAAAGGGGATGGTGAGAAGCTCATTTTCCCAAAATTTCAAATTTTTCCAATAGAAAACAGCAACATGAAAAATCTTGGAAATCAACCTACCAAAACTGAATTAATGGAAAATACAGTATCACATATTTCAAAATTTTCCTGGAAAACTAGTGAAGGGAGAAATTTGAAACGTTTTGCATGTAAAGAGAAAGGTTAGAAACTCATTTTCCCAGAATTTCAAATTTCTCCAGTAAAAAATTACAACATGAGGAATCTTGGAAATCAACCTACAATAACTGAGTTACTTGAAAATACAGTCTCGCATATTTCAAAATTTTCCTGGAAAACTAGAAAAGGGGAAATTTTGAAACTTTTTGCATGTAAAGAAGAAGGTGAGAAGCTCATTTTCCCAAAATTTCAAATTTTTCCAATAGAAAACATCAACATGAAAAATCTTGGAAATCAATCTACAAAAACTGAATTAGTTGAAAATACAGTCTCACACATTTCAAAGTTTTCCTGGAAAACTAGTGAAGGGAAAATTTTGAAACTTTTTGCATGTAGCGAAGAAGGTGAAAAGCTCATTTTCTCAAAATTTAAACTTTTTCCAATAGAAAACAACAACATGAGGAATATTGGAAATCAACCTACAATAACTGAATTAATTGAAAATACAGTCTCACATATTTCAATGTTTTCCTGGAAAACTAGTGAAGGGAAAGTTTTGAAACTTTTTGCATGTAAAGAAGAAGGTGAGAATATCATTTTTCCAAAATTTAAAATTTTTCCAGTGGAAAACAGCAACATATGGAATATTGGAAATCAACCTACAATAACTGAATTAGTTGAAAATACAGTCTCACACATTCCAAAGATTTCCTGGAAAACTAGTGAAGGGAAAATTTTAAAACTTTTTGCATGTAAAGAGGAAGGTGAGAAGCTCATTTTCTCAAAATTTCAAATTTTTCCAGTAGAAAACAGCAACATGAAAAATCTTGGAAATCAACCTACAAAAACTGAATTAGTGGAAAATACAGTCTTACATATTTCAAAGTTTTCCTGGAAAACTAGAAAAGGCGAAATTTTGAAACTTTTTGCATATAAAGAAGAAGGTGAGAACATCATTTTCCCAAAATTTCAAATTTTTTCAGTTGAAAATAACATGAAAAATTTTGGAAATCAGCCTACAAAAACTGCTCGAAAAATTGTATTCATAATTCTTTTGAGTTTTTTAAATTTGACAATTTCCTCTAAATTCCTCATAAATTCCTCACAAATTCTCCCAAATTCCCCATAAATTCCTCTAAAGTCTTTATAAATTTCCCAAATTCTCATAAATTTTGATGAATTCCTTTAAATTCCTCTAAATTTCCCACAAATTCCTCTAAATTCCCCACATTTTTAGCGAAGAATTCCTAGGTGGTTTGCCGGTTTTCCCCTTGAGTCCAAATGAGTTGAAATTTTCAGGGATTGCGGTCCTCTACTAGGATAAGAATCGCTGACAAATTTAGCTTTCTAAAGTCTGTTTTGTTTTTAAAGATAATTCCCCAAGTCAAAAATTTAGTAACTATGTTGGCAACACAAGCCTTTTCTACATAAAAAATTTGAAAGCATTGACAATTTTACATTGTATTGCCAACATAATGTCATTTTGACTTTTATCTTTAAAAAAAAAAACACATTTTATCTGTGATACCTCGTAAGTCATATGATACAAAAAAATATTAAAAAAGTTATGATTTTTCCTTCGATTTTTCAAAGTTTCCAAAAATTCAAGTCCAAAGCAAAGGAGAGAGGGTCTTCCTTCCAAGATAATCCAAAATGGTCAAATTTCCGAGCAAATTTCAAATTTATTTATGTGGAAATTTTGACTTTACACAAACAATTGAGATCCCAGACACCAGACACTTCATACAATGATTTATCTTGGAATATGAAATTTGAAGTCAGAGATTCATTAAAAAAATCAAAATTGATTAATAAGGAGAAATAACTTTCTAAATTCAGAGGATTGCCAAATTTTCCTCAGAAAAAATCGATTGTAATTATTGAAAAAATGCACAGACAGAAGACAAGAAAGTGAAATAATTTGATTTGTTATTAGGTACTTGTGTTTTCCCCAAGGGGTAAACCACTAGTGGAAATCATTGTTCATTTTTCTGGGCACATAGTAATCAATCAGGAATACATGGAAATCACTAGGAATCTCATTGGACTCCATAGGAATCACATAGGAATCCATTGGAAGTCGCTGAGAATCTTGTGGTAATTGCTGGGAATATTATCTCATTCTAACCCAGAAATCGCATATCATACATTTTAAATGAAACAACGCACCCCGTGGTTTCGTCTTAACGCCTTTAGAATAAATCCTTATAATTTCTGATTTTCTCCCAGGAAGAAAAACCAAAATTAAAATTTCCTACTACCACAAATTTATCATTTGAAGCTCAAAATATTTGATATATTAGAATGTTCTGCCTCAAATTTTCTCCAATATTTCCTGAAAATTCCAAATTTTCCCTCATAGTAGTTTTTAGCTCAACTTGAATTTAAAATTCCAGATGAATCTCTACCCTCAATAGCTCTACCAATAAAAGAAGGCCGCAAATACTTGTGGGGCAAAACTAAACGAGCCTTCGAGTACGTCTACAAGCATTACTTGGACAAAGCCGATTGGTTTCTGAAAGCTGACGACGACACTTACGTGATACTAGAAAATTTGAGATACATGCTTATGCCCTACAGTGCAAACAACTCCATATATTTCGGCTGTCGTTTTAAGCCCTATGTAAAACAAGGTTATATGAGTGGAGGAGCAGGATATGTATTGAGCAGAGAAGCCTTAAAACGATTTGTTGAGGTTGGTTTGACAAATAATGCTACAGGTTGCTCTAAAAGTGATAATGGAGCTGAGGATGTTGAAATGGGCAGGTGCATGGAAGCAGTTAAAGTCACAGCAGGCGATTCCAGAGATTCAATGGGCAGAGGCAGGTTTTTTCCTTTTGTTCCAGAACATCATTTGATTCCAGGACATGTTTCCAAAAGCTTTTGGTACTGGCAATATATTTATTATGAGAGTAAAGAGGGCATGGAATGTTGTTCTGATAATGCCGTATCGTTTCACTATGTTACGCCAAATCAAATGTATGTTTTGGAATATTTGATTTATCATTTGAGACCTTATGGTATATCGTATCAAGTTGATTTGCCTGCTGATAAAAAAGAAGCAGTGGTTTAAAAATATATTATATTTGAACTGGAGGTAATCCAAATAACTCTGGCCTCACATCATCAAAACATTCCACTTTCAATGTAGCTTTGGCCCACTGTTCTTTTGGAACTGTTTCGTTAGGAATTAGAACCACTTGCATTCCAGCTGCCAAAGCTGCTTGCATTCCATTTGTAGAATCTTCAAAAACCAAACATTTCGATGGGTTTACAGGAAATTTAGCTGCACAAAGTAAATAAGAGTCTGGTGCAGGTTTGCCATGTTTTATTTCAGGATCGTTGCCATATACAATGTGTTTGAATAGTTGGTAAATTTGTGGGAATCTTTGCAATTTTTGTAAAGCGGATTCTTGAGATGAAGAAGTGGCTATAGCCAATGGGATATTGTTGGAGTGTAGATGTTTTATCATTTTTTCAACACCTGGGATGAGGTTTAGGTTTTTGAAACCTAGTTTAGCGTGTTGCCTGTACTCTTCAATAAATTCATTATGGGTAGTTTTTAAGTTACGGTATTTTTTTAACGTAATTTCAGCTACTTTAGGACTAGGGGTACCGCATACTGTTGCGTATAAATCGTAATCTGGTTCGATGCCATAAGCTACTAGCGTTTTGATAAATGCTTCTTCATAAATTGGCTCAGTATCGAAAATAATTCCATCCATATCAAATATTACGTGAGTAACAGGCTTGAATTTACACGGGCACTTTTGCATTGATTTTGTGAGGTCAAGAAATTGTAAATAATTATGTCTAGTCTTTTTGTTGCCAAATATTCGTACATGCCATTGTAGTTTTTAGGAGTTTTGGTGTAAGCTTTTTAATTTTTTATACATTTTAAATAGATCTGACATTTAATACTCAAGATTGTCAACCCCCAAAATGCTCATATATAGATTGATATTATTGATTAGAGTTTAAGACAAAATTATTCTCTCTTTAGAATTAAGTGTATGGTTTTTATTAATTGTAGGTATTTTATCTAGTCATGATTTTTGTATATTTTTTTTCTATTAATTGTAATATACTTTTGTGTAATAAGTAAAAAGTATTGTCTCAATTTGAAATTGAGGGTAGATTTTAGGGTATATTTCAACACCCCTTTTCGCTAAAATCCCTTAGACCCAATAAATCTTTAAATTTTAGAAATGTTGACCCTGATAAACCTTTTGTTAAAATATCCACTTGCTGATTATTTGTATCTACATAAATTAAATTTATCAGACCCTTTCTCAATTTTTGGGAGAAAGAATTTGAATAAGTACGTATTTAATGAAGATGAGGTCAAAATTAGTATAGAACAAGTCCAACATTTCTTCAAAAAAAAGCATATTTGAAAAATTGCAAAAAAACATTCTTTTTAGTCTTAGAACAGTTTTGATGTTCTGACATGCTCTTAAACATTTGCTTACAGTTTTCGTAATTTTCAATAAATCGACTTGTATTATAGATATTCTGAAAGAGGATTAAATTCTCTATAAATCCTCCAAATATGAATGAAACTGCTACGATAGGCGTAGAGAAATTAAGCCTCAAAGTTGTAATTTTGCTTAAATTTCAACCAAAGCTTCAAGTTGAAATTGCTCAAAAACTACTAGTGGTGCAAATATTTCTCAAATACCACATCAAAACATTCAGTAAGAGCTACAATCTCAGAAAAATTTGGCACGATACCTCTTATGGATATTGAGATATTATACATTAAAGAATTTGAATAAAAAAATCAAAGGGGTAAGTAGGTAGATATTTAAAAAAACGAAATTTTCTATTTTTAACGTTTTTCAATTTTTGACTTTTCCAATGGAAATATGAATTCAAAATTAGTATAAAACAAGTCTAAACATTTTTTCAAGAAGCATATTTGAAAAATTGCAAAAAACATCCTTTCTAGTCTTAGAACAGTTTTAATGTCCTGACATGCTCTTAAACATTTGCTCACAGTTTTCGTAATTTTCAATGAATCGACTTGTATTATAGATATTCTGAAAGAGGATTAAATTCTCTATAAATCCTCCAAATATGAATAACGCTGCTGTGATAAGCTTAGAGAAATTAAGCCTCAAAGTTGTAATTTTGCTTAAATTTCAACCAAAACTTCAAGTTGAAATTGCTCAAAAACCACTAGTGATACAAATATTTCTCAAATACCACATCAAAGCATTCAGTAAGAGCTACAATCTCAAAAAAATTTGGCACGATACCTGTTATGGATATTGAGATATTACACATTAAAGAATTTGAATAAAAAAATCAAAGGGGTAAGTAGGTATTTAAAAAAACGAAATTTTCCATTTTCCACTTTTTTCAATTTTTAACTTTTCCATTGAAGAGAGGAGGTCAAAATTAGTATAAAACAAATCTAACATTTCTTCAAAAAAAAGCATATTTGAAAAATTGCAAAAAAACATTCTTTTTAGTCTTAGAACAGTTTTGATGTTCTGACATGCTCTTAAACATTTGCTTACAGTTTTCGTAATTTTCAATAAATCGACTTGTATTATAGATATTCTGAAAGAGGATTAAATTCTCTATAAATCCTCCAAATATGAATGAAACTGCTACGATAGGCGTAGAGAAATTAAGCCTCAAAGTTGTAATTTTGCTTAAATTTCAACCAAAGCTTCAAGTTGAAATTGCTCAAAAACTACTAGTGGTGCAAATATTTCTCAAATACCACATCAAAACATTCAGTAAGAGCTACAATCTCAGAAAAATTTGGCACGATACCTCTTATGGATATTAAGATATTACACATTAAAGAATTTGAATAAAAATATCAAAGGGGTAAGTAGGTATTTATAAAAAAACCGAAATTTTCTATTTTCCACTTTTTTCAATTTTTAACTTTTCCATTGAAGAGAGGAGGTCAAAATTAGTATAAAACAAATCTAACATTTCTTCAAAAAGCATATTTGAAAAATTGCAAAAAAACATATCCTTTCTAGTCTTAGAACAGTTTCGATGTCCTGACATGCTCTTAAACATTTGCTCACAGTTTTCGTAATTTTCAATGAATCGACTTGTTTTATAGATATCCTGAAAGAGGATTAAATTTTCTATAAATCCTCCAAATATGAATAAAGCTGCTGCGATAGGCTTAGAGAAATTAAGCCTCAAAGTTGTAATTTTGCTTAAATTTCAACCAAAACTTCAAGTTGAAATTACTCAAAAACCACTAGTCATACAAATATTTCTCAAATACCACATCAAAGCATTCAGTAAGAGCTACAATCTCAAAAAAATTTGGCACGATACCTTTTATGGATATTGAGATATTACACATTAAAGAATTTGAATAAAAAAATCATAGGGGTAAGTAGGTAGATATTTAAAAAAACGAAATTTTCTATTTTTAACGTTTTTCAATTTTTGACTTTTCCAATGGAAATATGAATTCAAAATTAGTATAAAACAAGTCTAAACATTTTTTCAAGAAGCATATTTGAAAAATTGCAAAAAACATCCTTTCTAGTCTTAGAACAGTTTTGATGTTCTGACATGCTCTTAAACATTTGCTCACAGTTTTCGTAATTTTCAATTAATCGACTTGTATTATAGATATTCTGAAAGAGGATTAAATTCTCTATAAATCCTCCAAATATGAATAAAGCTGCGGCGATAGGCTTAGAGAAATTAAGCCTCAAAGTTGTAATTTTGCTTAAATTTCAATCAAAACTTCAAGTTGAAATTGCTCAAAAACCACTAGTGATACAAATATTTCTCAAATACCACATCAAAACATTCAATAAGAGCAACAATCTCAGAAAAATTTGGCACGATACCTCTTATGGATATTAAGATATTACACATTAAAGAATTTGAATAAAAATATCAAAGGGGTAAGTAGGTATTTATAAAAAAACCGAAATTTTCTATTTTCCACGTTTTTCAATTTTTGACTTTCCGATGAAAATATGAGTTCAAAATTAGTATTAAACAAGTCTAACATTTCTTCAAAAAGCAGATTTGAAAAATTGCATAAAAACATCCGTTTTTTAGAAAAGTTTTGATGTCCTGACATGGTCTTAAACATTTCCTCACAGTTTCCGTAATTTTCAACGAATCGACTTTTATTATAAATATCCTGAAAGAGGATTAAATTCTCTATAAATCCTCCAAATTTGAATGAAATTGCTTCTATAGGCTTAGAGAAATTGAGCCTCAAAGTTAGAATTTTGTCTAAATTTCATCCAAAACTTCAAACTCAAATTGCTCAAAAACCACTCGTCATACAAATATTTCTCAAATACCACATCAAAGCATTCAGTAAGAGCTACAATCTCAAAAAAATTTGGCACGATACCTCTTATGGATATTGAGATATTACACATTAAAAAATTTGAATAAAAATGTCAAAGGGGTAAGTAGGTATTTAAAAAAAAAAAACGAAATTTTCCATTTTCCACGTTTTTCAATTTTTGACTTTTCCAATGAAAATATGAGTTCAAAATTAGTGTAAAACAAGTCTAACATTTCTTCAAAAAGCAGATTTGAAAAATTGCATAAAAACATCCTTTTTTTTAGAAAAGTTTTGATGTCCTGACATGGTCTTAAACATTTCCTCACAGTTTCCGTAATTTTCAACGAATCGACTTGTATTATAAATATCCTGAAAGAGGATTAAATTCTCTATAAATCCTCCAAATATGAATGAAACTGCTACGATAGGCGTAGAGAAATTAAGCCTCAAAGTTGTAATTTTGCTTAAATTTCAACCAAAACTTCAAGTTGAAATTGCTCAAAAACCACTAATGGTGCAAATATTTCTCAAATACCACATCAAAGCATTCAGTAAGAGCTACAATTCCAAAAAAATTTGGCACGATACCTCTTATGGATATTGAGATATTACACATTAAAGAATTTGAATAAAAAAATCAAAGGGGTAAGTAGGTATTTAAAAAAACGAAATTTTCCATTTTCCACTTTTTTCAATTTTTAACTTTTCCATTGAAGAGAGGAGGTCAAAATTAGTATAAAACAAATCTAACATTTCTTCAAAAAGCATATTTGAAAAATTGCAAAAAAACATCCTTTTTAGTCTTAGAACAGTTTTGATGTTCTGACATGCTCTTAAATATTTGCTCACAGTTTTCGTAATTCTCAATGAATCGGCTTGTATTATAGATATTCTGAAAGAGGATTAAATTCTCTATAAATCCTCCAAATATGAATAAAGCTGCTGCGATAGGCTTAGAGAAATTAAGCCTCAAAGTTGTAATTTTGCTTAAATTTCAACCAAAACTTCAAGTGAAAATTGCTCAAAAACCACTAGTGGTACAAATATTTCTCAAATACCACATCAAAGCATCCAGTAAAAGCTACAATCTCAAAAAAATTTGGCACGATACCTCTTATGGAGATTGAGATATTACACATTAAAGAATTTGAATAAAAAAATCAAAGGGGTAAGTAGGTATTTAAAAAAACGAAATTTTCTATTTTTCACGTTTTTCAATTTTTGACTTTTCCAATGGAAATATGAATTCAAAATTAGTATAAAACAAGTCTAACATTTTTTCAAAAAGCAGATTTGAAAAATTGCAAAAAAACATCCTTTTTAGTCTTGGAACAGTTTTGATGTTCTGACATGCTCTTAAACATTTGCTCACAGTTTTCGTAATTCTCAATGAATCGGCTTGTATTATAAATATTCTGAAAAAGGATTAAATTCTCTATAAATCCTCCAAATATGAATGAAATTGCTTCTATAGGCTTAGAGAAATTGAGCCTAAAAGTTAGAATTTTGCTTAAATTTCAACCAAAACTTCAAGTTGAAATTGCTCAAAATCCACTAGTGATACAAATATTTCTCAAATACCACATCAAACCATTCAGTAAGAGCTACAATCTCAAAAAAATTTGGCACGATACCTCTTATGGATATTGAGATATTACACATTAAAGAATTTGAATAAAAAAATCAAAGGGGTAAGTAGGTATTTA